GACACATCTTTAGTACAGTGTAATTACCACCATATTGTAAATATACCTTTGAAGATTTATTACCTAGATTCTACACAAAGTGATTGTATTTTTAAACTATGATATGCAGAGATATAATTCATCGTATTTTATTCAGTATTTTGTGGTCACAGATGTGTTTGGGTGTGAATATTGGTTGTGTTTATTTATATTCAATGACACGTACATGTATAGAGTCTATTAAAGTCACGTATCGATGCGCCAAGCGTCTGAACTTCTGAGTGTGATGTACTGAATGTGAAACAACCGTCTAACAAAAAGCTTGGATGGCCACCATTCATAATGATTACTATGATCCTTTATTGGTTAATACTTACTCACTTATTAAAATAGTCTGAACTAAAGAGACCCAGTGATTATTGTAAAAGGTTCATACAAACAGACCAATATATTTGATTTATATAAAGAATTCAATGACGCGCTGTTATACTAGTCGACAGTTTATATAGTTCAAGGGGTAGTCATTAAACAGTTGCATGTACCACACGTACTTGTACACCATACCCACCAAAACTACTTCAAGAAAGTGCAGGTCAACCCGGGCAAAAAGTCTTTCCGATCGCTTCATAATGTTACAATATATCAATCCGGTGTTGTCGAAATTGATTTATAATTTGTCGTATTTCAAGATGCGACGTTCTGGTGACCGGGTAAAAGGTGTGCCCACAATTTCCCACTACCTAGTACCATTAAATTAAAATAGCATTATTTGAGATATATCGTACAACTCATCTTCCTCCATTTTATAGTTAGTTGATTGGTAATTTAATTTGTATAACAGACAAGTCTACCCGGGCAAAACGTGTTCCCGGGTTGTACCAGTTTCTGGGTTATTGCCGGGTTGTATCAGTATATTGGGATTACTGGGTTGTTGAAGGGTTGTACCGGTATACTGAGATTACTAGGTTGTTGAAGGGTTGTATCAGTATACTGGGTTGTTGAAGGGTTGTACCAGCATACTGAGATTACTGGGTTGTATCAGTATACTGGGTTGTTGCGGGGTTGTACCAGTATACTGGGTTGTTGAAGGGTTGAAGATATCGTGTCTACTTGTTATAGGTGGACATACCAGTTCTCTACTGACCAGTTGTCACATGTTACAAATTGGCCTGACTTGAGCTTATCGTGTAAACGATTTATGTTTGGGTGTTAGGACAGTTTGTATGCTGAACGCCTTGGAATTGTTGTTTTAATGGGTGTAATGTTGATGGTAGCATGGATTGGAATGGACATGTTATAACTTCTCTGGCATTTTTATACACATCCCAACATCACCTTCGTTTTTAAGGACTTGTGATGGACAACCCTTGTGCGATATATTATGTTATAGTTTAAAATGGCCGATTCTTACGTTACATGTTTCTAAATTATTGAACATCTTTTAAACTTATATATCATCTAAAATTCCGTGGTTAACAATGCCACTGCCCTTGGACAAAACTTAATACAAAAAATGAATTCGAATCTAGTCATCTTCCAAAGTTGAATTTTATCGACATATTCCTGATTTTGAATTAAAATGGCTTCATGGACGACAGATTATCGACTGCTCTTATAATTTGATTGCATGGCGATTGATTCGTATACAACTGTGTTTAATTTGTTAATCGGCTTGACATTTAGTTTGAAAGCCCTGATTATATTTATAATGGATTTCATATGGTCAGAATATTGATCAACATCAACACCTTGTATATTTACAAAATAAATGGAACTGGTTAGTTAAAACATTGAACTGCGTTTTGTATTAAATGCCGCGCAACCATACTTCAGTGTAAAACCTTGTAAAGGTACCAGCCAGATTATTGACGTATAGTGTACTATTTTAATGTAAAAACTGTTCTTATGTATGTAATTGTGCACGCTATTCTATATATATATATATATATATATATATATATACGGCCATTGAAATATTATAGTTATTTATATACTGGGGGGGGGGGTGGCGCGTGCGCGTTGTATCATAAGGTCTGTCATTGAGTCAACAGGCGTGGTTTTGATTCCCCGGTTGAACGTGACAAGGAGTGGGATCGCCTGTCCAACCTCGAGGGATTTCTCCGGGTCCTCCCGTTTCCTCCCTCTACTTAAAAACCCCTACGCGCAAGAAAATTATTGAAATAAAAAATTGAATCCTGTGTTAGTCCCAAACTGACATAGTTTGTATCTAGTGGACGTTAAACCCCATTTCTCTCTATCCATATACGGCCATTGCACTATTAATATAATTATCTATATCCTCGGCTTCTGGTTACACACGTGACCATATAAATGAAGTTTACCGTGTGTTAGTCTCAGAATGCCGGAAGTATGTGTTAACTTTAAATCTGATTTCATTCCAGTTCTAAAATCCTACTGCTCCAGATCATCGTTCTAGTAAGCTACATGTATCAGTAGTGACCGGTGTCGACACTTTTAATTTTTTTGATCCAGACATTTTAAGTTGACATGTTCGGAGATTTAAAATAAATCGTTTCATTATATTTTAAATAAATCGTAGGTACCATTGAATAAACCCAGGACTGTTAAAATGAGACATTTTATCTTATATCAATATCCAGGGGCGATTATATATAAAGCACTTCTCTAATGATAGCTGTTGGTGAGACCATATCGCAGTGGGTAGAACGATATGATCATTGCTTGTTATCATCTAGCATAAACAGTGTCTTGACATTCTTGACACCGACAGCTGACCATAGATATTAGGATCAAATAGACCTGATAATCACGCCTCAACTATAATGACCGTGTACCTACATATTGTAACCTATCACTCCTCATCATTCATCACATCTTTTATCAACAATATACTCTGCTAAACGAAATACTCACCTTGTATTGTATTATAAAATAGTTGGAGGTCTGAAATATCTCACCCTTTGAGTCTGTACCTGAACAAACTTCTGAATCATCGCGATGCTCATTTCTAAAGTATCGTGGACACTTTTTATACTTAGGCTTTTTTTTTAGACTAACGTATGTTAAGATTCATTTCTATGTAGTGCTAGGGAAAGAAGGTTGTCTTGACAACGTTTCTCCCAATTCCAACTGCCAGTTTGTACACCGGCCTGGGTTTAAGGCTAGACGAACTATTCATGTAATCCCGGCAAGCACCACCCCTGGGGAGGTCTTGTTGATTAGGGTCCAGTCAACTCGACATCTCGTACCTGCACCTAATCCAGAAAGCATCGTACCAATAAGGAGTTTTGTAACATTACCTTTAATATTTGGAGAAGAAAGTGGGCATCCATGGTGGGCATCACGAGTCTTGGCATCACCCGCTGTTCTATTTATATAAACAAGAAAGTTAGTTTGCTACATGAAACCAAACTATGAACTTACCAATTTTAAATAACTTTTTTTTAAAAAAAAGGTTACATGGTGCCATAATTTTGTTATTTGGTGCTGCATGATCCTAATTCGCTTGGCTTTTATTGTCTTCGTTGATCTCTATTTTAATCAGATTGTTATTGTATTTTTGGGGATGTTAGAAAAATGGAACACGTTTACCCTTTCTACACCGGGTAACATAAAAAAGCTAGTATACTATAAAACCAGAAAGTCTTTGAAAAGTCTAAGTTTATGACCTAAAATTACAATATGGACGTGTGAATAAAATTTAATTCACGAATTGAATCTTTTCTGATTTAACGAGATCGTATTTTAAGATTTTAATAATTTCCTGTTTGGTTCTCCAGCGCTTCTTTATATGTTATTGTGTTTTTATAGATGTCCATTATTTATTGCCTTGTTTTTATTGATCATAGGTGTTTCCTATTGTTCACTTGACCGGTTCGTCAGAAAATCCCTTATTTATGGGCAGTGATGACACCTGCCCCCCAATTGGGTGACGTCACGTTCACGCTTTTCAACTGGGTTAATGATGACTTGAATTTAATTAGAAGTCAGTCGAGTGTTATCAATCTGAAATCCTTCTGTCAGCTGTCTTCTTGAGCCTATAGTTGATGGGGCCTAGACATGACAATCAGGCTAATGATAGTCGGCAGGGTTTACACCACACTCTACCCTTAAATATTCCCATCGTTTGCTATAGGTTGTTGCTTTCTGAAAAATGTATTGTCCAGTCAACTCCACCATGTGTCTTGCTGGGTCTATTGTTATCACAAGTCGCTGATGTCATTCAACCAGATGAAAAGGAGAGTTATTATGCAATATAGAAAATTCCTAATCTTTTTAACAAAGCCTTCAATGATTTGATCCACATCTGCTATTAATAATCAACGTTTTATTTCTTAAATCAGCGTGGATTTCTACACTCTTTTATTGTTAAACTTCCATTAATTATAAGTACATTATAATCTCTTAGTGAAGTAAAAAAGAGAATAATATTTATATTGAATTTTTAAAGAACGTAATGCAGATATATGCAACATCTAAAAAACGGTCTGAAGGCCACTGATAAAATAAAAAGACATTGGAGCGTCAGTTGGAATCTTGTAAAAGGGGTACAATATTCGGTGCGTGTAACGAGCACGGTAAATGTGTATTGCATGCATATTTACGACATGAGGTCTGCTCCGAACTCGGTGAATATACATTATAACCCATACTTTATACATGTTATTCCCGAGATCCTTGCTGTTGGTATTGCACGATGGTAAAGAAATACATTATTTCACCATTTATGAAAAGCGTAACCCGTTAATATGGGAAGATGAACCGATTTCAGACATGTATTTTGCCGCAAATAAAATCTTTCAAACGTTTTTATTAGAAAAGAAACAGTTCTAGGCCAGGATGTATATAAATTTTTAATGACCAAGTTTCTCTATAGGCATGTTTATCATTGTTTATATTAAAATCGTCCGACAACAGCTGTTCTATGAGATAGATTGTCATAAGTGACTCGATTAACTTTTAAAAAAAAAATGAATGAATTACTCGATAACAAACCGTGACGCGCGACTGTCAATGTGACATCCGTGACCCGGAAATGATCGAAGACAATGACCATTGGCATTTCTCCGATCCGAATGTTCAATGTATAGAAATGCATTATTAATTTCGATGTGCGTTGAAAAATAATTCTAGATTGACCAGTAATATCTTATGTTGAATATTGGTGATTATTGCATTGAGGAGACACAGAAAATACTGAAAATAACCGGTCGAATATTGGGTTCGAGAGAGATTGGTTATCGCCATATTGGATAATTTATTTACAACGAGGACGATCGGTACGCTGTATTCAGACTATATTTTATATTTCGTGGTTTCCTAACTAAATATAATTATAAAATACACTAAAGTGGAGGATTAAATTAAGAACGAGCCAAATTATATCATGTTTAAATCTGCCATTGTTTACGGATGACGGCGCTCGAAATTATTATTTATTATGCGTGGTGTAGGAATTGATTATTGAAGAAAAAAGCATCGTCTGCTTTCAGTAAAATGGATGTCCATCATTCCTTTAGAAGATAAATAAGATCAAATAACGAGTTATCCTCTTCTGACTTTTATGGTTAATCGGTGAATTATATTATTTGCGTATGAGACAATTTATTTGCTTTTTTACAGCACTGTATAGGGATTTTATACTAAAGAAGTGACCGGTATTATTGACACAGTCAACAAAATTAAGCATTGCAGTTCTTCTCCAAATAAACAGTGCAATCCTGACCAACATGCTACTTTATCATTTCCTTTTAAGAAACTTTAAGCATCAACTTTCTGACCCTTGATTCAATACCCCTGTGGAGTTTAAAATATTACATAAGCCATAATTAGGTTGGGCTGGAAACATTTGGTTTCAATTAGTTTGTAGCAAGCGACTGTGATTTTCGTGTCTCAAGTGTTTGCGTTTGAAATGAACTATGTTGATATTGAATGTTTCGAGTGTGTATTCAATTTACCGAACATAGTTAAATTAATGGAATATTACACATAAAAGGGATTTTATTATTGAAAACATATGAATTCGAGAAGAAATATTTCAAAATAATTGAAGAATTAAACATTGAGATGATATACATAGCTTGTTACTAGTAGTTGAAGGATTAAAGGATTATTGTTGAATTTAAACATTAGTTATTGTATTTTGAAGATTGATTTAGATCAAGGATACTTTAAACTTATTAAACCATCTTTCAAGGCTGTGAATGAAATGATGCCTGATATCTATGTGTTATCATTAGAAGTATTATGTTGCGTGAAAACTGATATTGAATAAATATTGAAGGGATGTACTGTATAGATGTATATATATAGATGTGTAACTATGAAGTATCATTGATAATTTAACACAATGTAGTGTTTACATTGGTGGGGGTTTATCATGTAACATGATCATAGATATGATTGAAAACTGATATTACAAGTAGCTACTACAAACTTATATGCACTTAAATCATGTAGCTACTTGTCAATGGATATTGTTTAACTTTTCACATTCCTAACACGTTTAGGTTGGTGATGTAGTGAATTTTATTTATTGTATTTAATTTATACCTGTTTACACCTGTGATATTGTTTTTGATCAGTATTGGATGTTTTTGAATCATATTTAACAAAAGAACATTGTGCCGTTTTAGTTATATATTTATGAATGAAAACTATCAAGAGCAAGAGTAATCAGGATTTTCAGTATTCAATATTTAGAATATTCTACAACTGAAAGTGTTGTGATGTTTTGGAATGCAATAACATACTACCGACATTTTGTATTGTAATTTCATACATTGTGAACTAATCAGTTATATTGTGCAAATAGAAAAATCAATATGAATATCTCTGGATCCTCAGCTAGTTCTATTAAAAGTCCTGAACCAGATGAAGGTACACCAGGTTGGATTGAGTGGCAAGTAAGTTGATAGAATTAAGAAAATATATGATATACTAGCATAAAGCATTCAAATTAACAACCGACTACATATACATTCATGCAATCAACTAATCAAGAAAATGCAAAATAAATCAAATTATGCATGATATAATCGAGAAAATAAAAATAAATCACAAGTCAAGTGTGCACATTGTGTTTAAGAAGTACTTGATTGTCATTAATTCTAATTTTAATGTATTTATTTGTTATAGGAGTCATATTATTGAAATATAGTGTTATTTGTGATTCGGGGGGTTGGATGGCTGAATGGTTAGCATGTGCGTGTTGTATCATAAGGTCTGTCATTGAGTCAACTGGCGTGGTTTCAAATCCCCGGTTGTACTCGACAAGGAGTAGGGTCGCCTGTCCAACCTCGTGGGTTTTCTCCCACTGCTAAAGAATCTTACGCACAAGCGAACTATTGAAATAAAATTGAACTATATGTTAGTCCCGAAATGACCTTGTTTGAGTTGAGTGGACATTTTACCCCATTTCTCTCTCTATTGTGAATATTAAATTGATAAAATAGGGTATATATATATAAATTGTCTAACCTGTAATACATATGTGTCAATTTTTAATGGTATAAAGGTTTGAAGCTTGATTCACATGCGCATAAATTGAATGTTACAAAATGTTCATAATTTAAACCTATGTGTTATATTAAACAAAATGACATTTTGATACATTAAAATTGAATTCAATCATTCAGAAAAAAACTTTAAAATGTTTATATTGGTTGATCCAACTAGGCATCAGTATAACTAGGGGAAAGAAAGTAAGTTTCAGTAGAAAAGATTTTATTAGAAAACTGAATATACTTGACAATTAAATCTGAATTTGTGTATGAGCCACGGTGGCTCAGTGAGGAAGACACTGGCTCGCTAACATGGAGGTCACATGTTGGATTCCTGTATCAACCAAGAAATTCCATAGGGATTCTCTGGTGTGGTTCTCCCTTGTCAGCGGTGCAGTACAGAGGGCCTGGCAAGGAACAACATGTGGTCATTTGGATGGGACCCTTGGTGGTTGGAATTTGATATAAGAATAGGCCATAGTGCCGCTGCCCAGACAAAATTTCCCTCATAGCACACTGTATGGCATATGCCCATCTTCATTAACACAGTCGGAGTAGGACATTATACCTCATTTCATTTTCGAATATTAGTGTTAGCAATCCTGATTTCATTTCGAATATTAGTGTTAGCAATCCTGATTTCATTTCAAATATTAGTGTTAGCACTACTCCATTCTTCTAACTTAACAAATGTTGGTTGGATGAGATACAGCTTGAATAAAACATGACGATTGATGTTAATAAATATATTATTATATATTTCAGCAACAACTAGATGCATACAAGGCATGGGTTAATTCTCAATTACGTAAACGACCAAATACACGACCGATAGATGATTTACGACTGGATATTAGAGATGGTAAAATACTGGCAGAGCTTATTGAGATCGTTGGTAAGTAAATATTCATTTTAAAATGGCTCTTCATTTGATTTGACAGGTGCAAGACTAAGTGATTTTAGTTCTTTTGCTTCGAGCATTGAACATATTACTTGTACCATGGACGTGGCGGGAACCTTTTGGAATAGAACAGAAAGCAAGACATTAGTATAGACACTGACTGTTGCATCTAAATGGTCAAATACGTATGAAATTCACTTGCTGAACTGATAAAATCATCTCCTTGATTCTTCCTTTGACTCACAGACTGTATGGGTGAAAAGAAAATTCTCAAATTTTTAAACACTGATCATACATAATAATTATGTCTGTTTGAATGGTGCAGAAAATAAAGTATCGAGAGGAAATTGATAATTAACGTTGCTTCTGATTTGACGGAATAATTAAAGCTTGTGACTTAGATAGGAGGCAGTTTACCATTACTTTCCTCATTGGCTTTAATGCTAAAGATACTGAGTTGACAGTTCTCGCTATAATAGTTAAAAATTACATAACGTAAAAATTTCAGTAAAATTGCTCCACTCTGAACAGAGTTATTAGCAATTGAATTTGAGGCCTAGCCTTGATCGTCATTATGAAAGTCGGTACGATAAAAAAACAAAGTCTCAATTATCCATTTTGATGTTAAATCATCCTTCCCTTTACAGTTTGACTAATTAATATACAATTTTGTCATTAATAATTTAACTGGACAAACGAGACTAAGTCTCAATTATTCATTTTGTCGTTAAATTACGCTTGTGTTCTAATCCATTTAAATCAATGCCATCCGATGGTCTAGAGAGTTGATTATTGGCTTGTCATATTACAAAATGTCTAAATTATAGTTTATATAACATTTAAAGCTAAAATAAAGATCTGAAATAGACAGATTTATCTCTTGAATAATACACCTGTAACTGATCTATATTTCTATCTGGTGGAAGAGAAGTTACCAGGTATATATAATACACCTGTAATACACCTGTAACTGATCTATATTTATATTTATCAGGTGGAGAAAAGTTACCAGGTATCCATACATCACCTAGTAATAAAGATGAAATGATAGACAATGTTCGTAGTGTTTTACAGTTTGTACTACAACATAAAATACGTATGCATGAAATGTCTGCTATAGGTAAGTTTTACCTGTTTACATCCAAGGGTTAGGGTTATAGGGTCCCCAAGCACTGTTATTCTTCTTGGGGTAAAACTCAAAAAACAAAAAAAAGTATAAATCTCTACCAATTCAAGTACAATCAACATAAATCGTGGCATACTATTCCTTGGAGAATTACGCATTAATTGAAGGACTTTCATTTTTTATTTGACAAGATGGCGGAGATATCGTTATGTTCAGTTCCTGTTCTGTATGTGTGTAGCTCTGATAATAATGTTACAAGGTGGGATGCAATATGATATGATGAAATGCCAGTTAGTCACATCTTGCAGAATTCTCCAAAGACAAATTACAATCTTACAAATACAAAACATTAATGTGACACAATCAACAATAACCGTTAATATTTTATTTGGCCTACACCTTTTGGAGAAAGTAGACCGTAGGGAATTATTAATAACAAGTTTGTCCGAACTGTGCCACATGTTTTTGAACACAATAACTCTGGTTCTATTGATACTTTACAAAAATGTAACTGAATGTCATTTATTTCTGTTTAGATATTGTGGAAGGAAATTTGAAGTCTATTATGAGGTTAATTTTAGCTCTGGCTGCCCATTATAAACCTTCGAGTGTAAAACATTCTTCTTATCATCATATTAAATCACCTGCACATGATGTTACAGGTATAGCTCAGGTAAGTTATATATTATACAGAGTTTATTACTCTATCCGGTTACTAAATACCTCTAAAGGATTATTCAACTAGTCAATATAAACACTGAAATTCCACCCAAGAGTTTGTAACAAGGTGATATGTTACTTACTAAGCTCGGAAATAAAACTTGTCTCTTATGTCGTATAGATGTCAGTTGGCTTGAAAACCATTGTCTGAATGACAAAGACACATATACAAAAGTATTTTTATAAACAATGTTTTGGCCCCACAAGCATTCAAAACAATTAATTCTAACTTGAATAATGTCAATTTAAAGTTGTATTTATATCACTTGTGTTTAAAAATTGCATCAATTGTAAAACTATTGTAATTCTAGGATGCCGCTGTAGCGCTTGCTGAAGCCAGACGTAATGCTGCTCGTGCCGGACATAGACACAGGCGTACACGAGAATCTACAATAGCAGAAAGGAGGTACGGACACAGGTAAGACCATTTTAAAAGATCAGTAATTCTGCTGTCAAATTGTAACATTCTCTCCATTGGAAACAGAATTCATAATAAAGGGAGATAATATTGCATCAAGGGAGATAATTTGTATATTTTATTTCTGTTTAGGATCATCTTGGCAAGTAAGATTGTAGGTTTTTTAAACTGTAGAGTATTATTAACAGATAGATGATGTACATTTATTTCCTAATGAATGACATTGTGAGATAATAAACCCAAGAATATAAATATCACCTCTCCATTTTTTTTTATGGAACAAATAACAGTGTTTAAAAATTAAAACTAGTAAATTCATTACATGTTCATTCCAGATATCAAGACAGTAGTTCAGAGCAGTTCTCAGATTCCGATCACAGTCAGAGTGGTCATCACAGTAGAAGTCGGAGGGAATTACATCCACTAGACACTGGTAGTCATAGTAGTAGTCATTCTTCAAGTGCTCGACTTAGTCCCAGATGTTATAATACACCTACTAAAAACTTAGATTATTTACCACGTAGCAAGTCTATGTCAATTGATCATATACACGGTAAGATTAATAAACAGTTTTATTCCTTATTCATTGTGTGAATATTATTAGTTATATTTTAATTGTTAACTGGCGGTTCCAAGACAATGAGTGTGCCTTTTTATTGTGTATGGTCTGAAAATCCGTTTTTGTCGTTTGGTTTGAAAATGGAAATAAATGAAATGGGGTTTAACATCCTACTGTTCTGCTCCGACTGGGCTAATGAAGACAGACGTACGCCATACAGTGTGGTAGGAGGGAAATTTTGTCCCGGTAGCAGCACTACAGCCTATTCCTGTATCAAATTCCAACTGTCAAGGAATCTTTAAGGTGCACGCTAATGTGTACACAGGACTTCAGGTTGTTTGTCCCATCCCTTGCCAGGCAGGGATCTAACACAGAAGTTTAGTTTGGTATTTTAATGTTAAATATTTATGTAATTGTAGCTAAAGATAGTGGTGCTGAATTAGAAGATGCTGTTAGTGTTGTAGATAAATCACAATATGATGAATTATTACAAGAATATACAAATTTAGTTCATTCTATGCACGAAACTAAAACAGAACTTGTTATGTTACAGGAATTGGTAAGTATTTATCAACAGCAAGGCTAATGATTTAATTCAATTTGCATATTAGCATTTTTTTGTAAGATTTTTTTTTGATAAATATTTATACAAGTCTAATTAAAAAATATACATAAAATTCCCAGTATTATGAAAACAAAATTCAAAATACACATACATGTATTAAAAGCATGTTTTTATTATCGGAAATCTTGCCTGGTAGAAATGTAAACCATTTACTATATAACAGTTATTAAATGTAAACTGTTTACTATATTACAGTTATTACATGTAAACTGTTTTCTATATTACAGTTATTACATGTAAACTGTTTGTTATATTACAGTTATTAAATGTAAACTGTTTACTATATATACACTGTTTACTATATAACAGTTATTAAATGTAAACTGTTTGTTATATTACAGTTATTACATGTAAACTGTTTACTATATTACAGTTATTTAATGTAATCTGTTTACTATATTACAGTTATTTAATGTAAACTGTTTACTATATTACAGTTATTACATGTAAACTGTTTACTATATTACAGTTATTACATGTAAACTGTTTACTATATTACAGTTATTACATGTAAACTGTTTCTTATATTACAGTTATTACATGTAAACTGTTTGTTATATTACAGTTATTACATGTAAACTGTTTGTTATATTACAATTATTAAATGTAAACTGTTTGTTATATTACAGTTATTAAATGTAAACTGTTTACTATATTACAGTTATTAAATGTAAACTGTTTACTATATTACAGTTATTACATGTAAACTGTTTACTATATTACAGTTATTACATGTAAACTGTTTTGTTATATTACAGTTATTAAATGTAAACTGTTTGTTATATTACAGTTATTAAATGTAAACTGTTTGTTATATTACAGTTATTACATGTAAACTGTTTACTATATTACAGTTATTACATGTAAACTGTTTACTATATTACAGTTATTAAATGTAAACTGTTTACTATATTACAGTTATTACATGTAAACTGTTTACTATATTACAGTTATTAAATGTAAACTGTTTGTTATATTACAGTTATTAAATGTAAACTGTTTGTTATATAACAGTTATTAAATGTAAACTGTTTGTTATATAACAGTTATTAAATGTAAACTGTTTGTTATATTACAGTTATTAAATGTAAACTGTTTACTATATTACAGTTATTAAGAGGAGAAGATTCTGGTGATACTGAAGATGCTACTGTAAGTTGATTATATTACTGATATATTCAATAACTTATAGATAGTCTTATTGGTTCCTCTATCGTAATATCAATACAAATACACTATTTAACTATTGTTTTTATTATTACAGAATGAACTGATAAGACAATTACATTTAAAAGATAAATGTATAGCAGCCATGAAAGTAAGGATATTTATCATTATATATATCTGTCAGTGGTTATATACTATAACATTATATATATCTGTCAGTGGTTATATAACTATTATATATGTAATATTGTACTATATCTATACATGTGGTATTATACTATAATTATATATGTAGTATTGTTCTATAATTTAGAATATAAATCTATTTGAATATTAATGCATGCTGCAGTCCATGTTGGGTCGAGCTATAAAAACCTGTCATACAACATCATATAAGATTATATTTACGGTAGATAGATAGTTATTTGATTTAACTGTTAATCCACTTGGTGTAGAAGATAGAATAATTTATTTGTGTTTATTTGTAGCATGATATAGTTAAACTACAGGATGAAATAACGCTACAAATACACGAAAAGGAGAAAGTAACATCTGATTTAAGATCTGAAATACGTGATTTACTGGATCAGATGCATATAGTTGGTGCTACTGGTGCCAGTTTATCAGCTAGAGTAGCATCACAAGATAAAAGAATGGCCAGATTAGAAGGTAAAATATTCCAAGCTAATCCAGAAGATGGATCTCACAGTATTAAACCAGAATATCAGGTAATTTTAACTCTTATATTTATTAGGATTTAATAATCCATGGTTGGTTGAAGGATGGCGATGGGGGAATGACTGTATGGTTAACTCTAGTGTGACCAATTTGACCCAATTTCAAAATGGATTAAGAACCCTGGGGATGACTGTATGGTTTAACTCTAGTGTCAATTTGTGGATCTTTAGTTTGTCATTTATTTCATCTCATCATTGTAACCAGCAAGAATTAACAATACATATTGTATCTTCTCTAGTATCGATCATGCATTAGTCCCAAAAATACATTTAGTTCTTTATAACATTAGAATATATTTCATCTCGTCATTGTAACGAGCAAGAATTAACAATACCAGGTGTACTTTGTATCTTCTCCGGTTTCGATCATGCATTAGTCCCAAAATGATAGACTTTAAAATGTATTTCGTGGTTTATAACAATAGAATATACTTTCTATATTTTGAACGACTGATAAACAAAAGAAGATGGCTCTACTTGTGTCTACGCTTTATTTATTAATTTCTATTCCTTACAATTTACTTTCTATTTTTTATTTTCAGAGTTCAGCTACAGAGCTACACGTAGTCAGAGATTCCTTACAAAGTTTGCGACGTCATTTTGAAACGAGTTCTCCACACAACCACACGATAGATACATTAGAACAGAGTATAGCACTTTTAATAGAAAAACTTCATACAACAGAAACATCTCCTCTAAGTCATACTATAGCTTCATCCCGGGTAAGTCTGTAAAACAAATCTAATTATAGGTCTGTCATAATAAGATTGGGGGGTTGGATTACCAAATGATTAACGCGTACGAGTACATTTCGATTCCCCGGTTGTATGTGACAAGGAGTAGGGTCGCCTGTCTAGCCTCATCATATGATGAATATGACATAGTTCTTATAACAGTTGACAATTGTTAAAACAAGTGAAGAGAGTAATTCAGTTCAGTTGTCTTAATCACACCAACAGTGACAATCAAATGAATAGTGGACTGTGAATCGTGTGACAATATGTCTTATTGAGATAGACAGAAGGGGGATTGGATGGCCGAATGGTTAGCTTGTGCGCGCTGTATCATAAGGTCTGTTATTGAGTCAACTGGCGTGGTTTAAATTCCCCGGTTGTACGTGACAAGGAGTAGGATCACCTGTCAAACCTCGTGGATTTTCTCCGGGTCTTCTGGTTTCCTCCCACTGCTAAAGACCCCTTGCACGCAATCTAAATATTGAAATAAAATTGAATCATATGTTCATCCTGAAATGACCTACATATAGTTTGTGTTGAGTGGACATTAAACCCCATTTCTCTCTCTCTCAGATTGAAAGAACTGGTAAATTCTGTTCTAGATCACTCCTGTCAGCAACCCCTGAAATTATTGACTCACAATCAAGCAAGGTCTAAAAATTAGATTTTATTATATAACCAGTTTGTTAATATTTTATTGATAATTATTCTGTATTTTTCCTTTTAAATAGTCTTTGATGGATACGTCACCAAAAAAGTTAAATTATGATTCAGCACCGGAAAAACGTTCTTCCTCCAGTATAAATATGTCAGGTTAGTCGCGGTTTACTTTCCTCCAGTATAGACATCTATAAATTAATTTAAATTAATTTAGAAACCCCCTTTCTATTCAATATTTAGTCCCGAAATGACCTAGTTTGTGTTGAGTGGATGTTAAACCCCATTTCTCTCTCTCTCTCTCTTCAGTATTAATGGAGTAAAATAATATTGAAATGTTGTTTGAGAGTAAGGTTTTTTATTTTATGTTATATTTTTAGGTTTTCGAATGAATAAACCCAGTAATAGTCAGAGTAAAAATAATCCACCAAGTTCAACTAATGTTTTATATTTTACTGATACGTCAGTTACACCAAAAATATGTAAAATACAGAAAAAGTAAGTAGTTTATTCTATAAATAAACAGGGTAGCTCGGATATTTCAACCTGGTTTCCCCCTTCCCCAGGGACCCTGGCTAGAAAAAGTGTCTAGTTGTCCAAATAGGACAGAAAAAATGAGGTTTTATGTATACCATTGACAATCCTTGTCAGGCCCTCAGTCCTGCACCACTGACAAGGGGGAACCCAATGAAATTTCTCAGCCAACACCGGAATCGACCCCTCGATGCTAGCGAACCAGCATCTTACTCACTTAGCCACAGTGGCTCCCTTAAACTCAAGGCATGTTGGAAGAAAGTCAATGAAGAACATCTTATAACCTACACAGATAATAAGCTCAATGAGAAATACCTGTATAATTTGTATAACTTAGTGAGAAATACCTGTATAATTTGTATAACTCAATGAGAAATACCTGTATAGTTTGTATAACACGATGAGAAATACCTGTATAATTTGTATAACACGATGAGAAATACCTGTATAATTTGTATAACTCAATGAGAAATACATGTATAATTTGTATAACTTAGTTAGAAATACCTGTATAATTTGTATAACTCAATGAGAAATACCTGTATAATTTGTATAACACGATGAGAAATACCTGTATAATTGTTTAATTGTGTATTGTAGATTAGGTGATATTAAACTGGGAGATTTTAAGAAGTTATTTGATCGACCATCTATATATAGATATCATTTTAAAGCTTTAGATCCAGAATATGGAACTGTTAAAGAGGAGGTAAATACAACATTCTCATCATCTCACCTGTATCATACCTGTTGAAATAAATATATATGTATACAATGTTAGTCACAAAATGACCTGTTATTGTCAAGTGGATTTTAATACCCCATTTCCTGAACTATTTATGATGTACTTCCATCAGATTCTCATTTTACACATTAGTGTGATTTAAGTGGTGGAATTAATTCTTTTGGTAATTTTGTCATGAACTGAGAAGAAATTTTGCCACCATTGACCATAAGTTTTTAAATTGAAGCTTCTGTAATTACTGTCTGTCTTTATGTTCCAATACCTTGATTTGATATACACCTGTATGATGTTTATATATTTCCAGGTAGCTAATGATGATGATATAATACCTGGTTGGGAAGGTAAAATAGTAGCATGGGTAGAGGCTGATTTACAAACCGAGTGCTGATATTATTGTACCTATTACTTATATAGTGCTATATACAAACTACACTTATAAACCCTGTGCTTTAAATATTTCTACTCATGGAGATGGTTAAAAATAGTTTCACTATTTCATACAATTTCTTATTTTATGGATATTTATGTTGGATCCAAAAGGTTTCAAATGTGTTCAACTTGAAACCCAATTCATTTTATGTGACACGGAATCTCTGGAACTGGAAGCTTGGAATATTCAAATACTGGAGGTGTAAGCTTGGAATATTCAAATACTGGAACTGGAAGCTTGGAATATTTAAATACTGTAAGCTTACAATACTGGAGGTGGAAGCTTAGAATATTAATGAAAAATTGTTTTAGAATGACCATAGTTTTATTATTCCTGAAATCTTTTTTCAAATTGTGTTCAATAACTATTCCAATCAAAACATACTGCAGCTCAAGTAAACAGTTTTATTTAGTTCTTTAATCCTAATTTTGTTGTGATATAAACTTTAATTTGTGATGGAGAGAAGGAATAAGAGGAGAAATGATATTAACTAATGTACAGTTGTTTATAGGGGAGAGAAAGATTGAGTGAATGAATATTGAAGGAGGAATGAAAGTTGTTAAGTCATAATAATTTAAAATCTTTCACTTTGTATGTTTTATTTGTGTGAAGTATATTAATCATCTAAATCTGTTTTTAAACTGTTTTATTTTTGTTGAAAACTGGTCATGTTAATTTAAAGTCTGCACATAAAAGGGCATTGAAGATTTGCACATTAATAGCTGCTTGCTGTAGACATGAAAAAGATTTGCTTTTGACAAGTTTTTTTTTTACATAAAAAGATTTAATTGCTTTAGCCATATTTTTTCCTATTGAAAAATTTGCTTTATATATTTTTTTAGATCAAAATATTCACTTTGAAAATGTTTATTTTCATCACATCTGAATGCTTTAATTTATGATGATAAAAATGACTGATAATCTTTTAAATGTATTATGTTGGGTTCTAGTCTCTAGGGTTTTATCTTTCATACAGGTATATTGTATTAATGGGGGGGGGGGGGTATCTTTCATACAGAAATATTATATTAAACTGGTTTATTTGTAAGCTATTTATTTATACACATGGAGATAATATTTCAACTACTGATACCGTATCATTATTGAATTATATTCCACTATACTAGTTTTAAATCTGAAACTTTTCCCATATCTTTAAACTGTTATAAACTGTTATTATGTTCGCTTGATATACCATTGAGCTTAATGCAACCAGATATATTCAGGATTCCTGACAATTTTTCAGTTAATATGGAAAATCCACAATGAAAGGGTTTCACAGAGATAAAATTAGAATGAAATATACTTTTTAAATCGACCTCTACAAGACTTGGATGAATTTATAGTTCATGGATAATATAGTACCTGAATTGGGAACCTTTGTGATAATGTTTTTTTCGACTGATAATGTTGCTTTTCTCTCTTGTGGCCTTATAGTATACAGTATTATTAAAATAAAAGTTTATAATTTTTCTGATTAAAGTTAAGAAAATTCTTGACAAGTATATAAGTAGGTTTATATATAATTCTATATCAAAAAGAGTTGGTCCATCTGGTTATATATTCGTTCAATATGGCATTCCCGATGTTTTTAGTAAATTGGTCAAATTAGTTTATTTGTGTGACAGAGTTATCTGTTTGTCGCGTTTATACCTTTTCCAAATAGCAATAGTTAGTTCTGATCGATTCCACAAGTGATGTCCCAAATGGCAATAGTTAGTTCTGATCGATTCCACCCAAATGGCAATAGTTAGTTCTGATCGATTCCACCCAAATAGCAATAGTTAGTTCTGATTGATTCCACCAGCGATGTCCCAAGCACAATCTTTAATTTAGTGTGGCTTTGAAAAGGGTTGTTTAGGAAGTTTGTACTTGTTGAATCAAGTTGAGGTCTATTGTTTGTTATCTGTTTGTCACGTTTCTACCTTTTCCAAATGGCAATAGTTCTGATCGATTCCACCCAAATGGCAATAGTTAGTTCTGATTGATTCCACCAGCGATGTTCCAAACACAATCTTTAATTTAGTGTGGCTTTGAAGAAAAGGGTTGTTTAGGAAGTTTGTACTAGTTGAATCAAGTTGAGGTCATTGTTTGTTAAAATATAAAACTATGTGGACCATCTCTTTTAAGGCTTATCAATGTTGTTATCACACTCGAAATATATAATCAACATTATTAATATATTATCTATGGAGACCTAACCATAGATATTTGCGAGATGCTAATTGTAGGACGGTTGGGGAGGTTCGGGAATTTCCAGTCCAAAATGGCTGCTTTATATAATTGAGTATTTTGAGGAATACTAACCCTAACCCTTTTTAGAAAGGTAAACTTGGATCTAATTTACCTTTAACCCTCTTAAAAGGGTTAGGGTAAGGATTAGTATTCCCAAAAATACTCATTTATATTAACTGGCCATTTTGGACTCCGGAAATTCCCAAACCTCCCCAACCTACCTACAATTAGCATCTTCCGAAGAGTTTAATTGACTAGCCTGTAAACCCATTTCCATGATATCATCTATGTATTAATGTTATTAAAGATCTCATGTTTCAACATTCACATGTATTTGTCTACCTCTAATCTTATCAATATATTTTATTTATTTTACACATTTATAATTTTTGTCAACATCTTTAACAAAACATCAGGGCCCTGTTTCTCAAAACCTTAACTAAAGATCAAATCCAAATTTTAGTAGATACTTCAATTTTGATTGGCTAAGCACTAAAATCAACCTAATATTATCCAATCAAATTACTAAAATTTGGATTTTTATCTTAGTTAAAATTTCGTGACACAGGCCCCAGATGATTAGAAAAGAAAATGGCGATATTTGTGTACTATGCATGCAGATGTTGTTGCTAATTAATCGTTACATTGTTTGCTTCCAATTAAAAACTAAAAGATATCTCCACGCTGCCTTATATTAATATTTTACAACCATTTGCTTGTAGTCGTAATTCCTCAATATATTCCATATATTTGATGTTTTGACATTCCAGTTGCAAACTTGTAATAAAAATATTTGTGTCGTTACTGTGTGATTTTGACCTTATTTCTATTAAGGTCATCACCTATAAATAATATAAAGGACTAGGTATACTGTTACTAATGATATTTGATAATTGAAATGGATATACACACAGTACATAATTCTATCGACTATAATATTACTGATTCCTTATTGTGAATTAGTAATTATATTCCATGGAGTTGTGTCCCTTGTATAAACGAGGCACTTGTTCCTCAAATTTGATCTTTATATCTAGACAACGCAAAACACCTGGGCCCTTATTCACAAAACTTAATAAGATACAATCAAAATTTTAAAAAATACTGCAATTCGATTGGCTGACCAGTAAAATCAATTTCCATATTGGTCAGCCAATCGAATTGCAGTATTTCTTAAAATTTTGATTTTATCTTAGTTTAAGTTTTCGTGAATAAGGGCCCAGAATGAGAAGTTATGTTTTTAAGAATTTAATGTGATATGGTTAAAGTTAGGATTAATTAATGGAAGGTATGATCTTATGTGTATTTATCTAGCTGTCTCATTGTTCTGGTCTACTATATACAATCAAGGCTTATTGTTTTGGTCTATTATATACAATCAAGGCTTATTGTTCTGGTCTATTATATTTAATTAAAGCTTACAGTACAATTTATTATTTTAATGTACCAGTATTCAAAAATAAACTTGTTTTTGAAAATTGTATTTTGTTTTATTTTAACCTATAATCTTAGTTTTGCTATTTATCCATGCTGAAGACCCATTGATCTGATATATCTGACCCTCAAATGGCAGAACAAGATGGAATGGTACTATTACTGTTGCTATTTGTGAGAAGACACCTAAAATTGATCCTAGTTTGAACCCTGCTCAAACTGGTCTGTTTCAATTTTTTTTTTCACTTTAAATGTAGCTTTAATGGGGAAGAATTATGCACACTGCCCATGATGGATAATATATATTTTTATCTACATGTTTGAGAAAATGTCTAGGTACAAGAAAAGTTTAAATTTGTTGCTGTGGGGCTGAGGCAATCTGATTAAAACACAGATTCTATTTTATAATTCAAAATTTCGTTTTACTTGTGTTTACTACACTAGGACTTGAAAAGTTGTTATATAACCCCTGTTCTGGATGATGTGAGGGATTAGCCAATGAAACATTCTGTTATGGTGAGTTTTTGGTGTGAGGTGCACAGAACTGTGGGTAACCTACTAGAAACATCAACGCTGATTGGTTAATCAAATGTCAGATGTCATAGAGTTAAAAACAACCTCCCACTACAACCGGTCAGATCTTTATGTAGTAGAGGCCATCAAAAAGTATAAAAAAGCGAAACAAAATAGAGATCTGTCTCAGATTGAGGCTGAGAAAATTCATTAAATGAACAAACCTGAATAATGTCAGACCATCTAAAGCAACAAATCTGCCAAATGTGGGTTTAAACAGCCACAGTGACTCAGTGAGTAGGCCACAAGCTAACTAACCAGGAGATCTGGGTTTCAATCCCAGTGTTGGCCAAGAGTTCCCAGGAATATTACAGTGTTTAACATCCACGCGACACAAACTAGGTCATTTCGGGACTAACATATGGTTTAATTTTTTTATTTCAATAATTCGCTTGCGCGTAGGGGTCTTTAGCAGTGGGAGGAAACCGGAGGACACGGAGAAAACCCACCTGGTTGGACAGGCGACCCTACGAAATATTCATTGACAATCGTGACAATCGTAATTATAAATAAGAATAGGCTCTAGTGCCACTGTCCACTTAAATTTTTTCGTCTTCATTTTCCTAGTTAAACACTATTTAATTTTTATACGCCCACATTTTCACTTGGCTGTATATTGTCGTTGCCCCTGTCCGTCCGTCCACAATTGTTTGTGGACACTCTACAGGTCACAATTCTTATACGATTTTGATGAAACTTGAAATATAGGTTTATCTCCAAAAGATCTCGGTTGCTTTCGATATTGGCATGTATCGGACCGAAACTTCATGGATTATGACCCCTGATTGTACGAAAAATCATGTGTTTAGTTTGTGGACCCCATAGAGGTCACAATTTTTATCCGATTTTGTTGAAACTTGAAATATAAGTTTATAACCCAAAGATCTCAGTTCCTTTCAATATTCGCGCATATCAGACCGTAACTTCCTGAATTATGGCCCCTGATTGTACGAAAAATCAAGTTTTTAGCTTGTGGACCCTATAGCGGTCATAATTTTTATGTTTTAAAAAACCGTTTGAATATATCACCATTCCATCATAATGAAGGTTGAATTTGGATTTCGGGGAAAATCGAAATGAAACTGCCCGACAAAATGGTCGCTCTTTGAATGCAAATTGTGTAAAAGTATGCAATACGAAGGTTATGGACCCTCTAGAGGTCACAATTCTTATCCGATTCTGATGAAACTTAAAACATATCTTTATATCCCAAAGATCTCAGTCCCTTTTGATATTTGGGCATTTCAGACCATAACTTTCTAGATTATTGACCCTGATTATACAAAAAATGGTTTTTGTTTTTAGCTTGTTCTCTATCCATCTCTTGCAAAATGTGGGCGTATCCTGTCTGGCAGCCGCTGGTTGGAAAATGTTTCAGTATGTTAATTGATCCTTCTGCACCCTACATTATAACAAAGCTATACCTGAGCAACATACTTAATAAATCAGGTTGAAATTCATCAAGTAGTAGGTGTCATTATATCCAAAAAGTACTTTAATATCTCAATTTGCCCCTTAAATGTAGCCCTGGTATAGAAATGAACAAATGTTTTGAAATTCATTTCATAGAGCAACCTATAAACATTTCGATATTTAGATTTAAATTAAATAGACTCTATTGTTCTAGTTTTCTATACTGTTTGTAGTGTTAATATATGAGAGCTTTAAGAAAAATGAGACAATGATTTGAAGAGTGACATGTGGAACAAGGAAGTAAATTCTTACTAGATTTCCTGTCATCAGACTATAATAACACTATAGTATTAAATATTTATAGTAGTTCAAGTAAACATCATGATAAAATTATTCTCTGTATTTCTCATACTGTTTAATCAACAGATTATTCTGAATAGCGGTGAGTATAAATAATTCATTCAGTCATCCCATGAGTTGAAGATAAGTAGGCCTACAATACAATAACTTTTTTTGAATGTTTGTCCTTTGGAAACACTACTAAAATTCAACAACTTTTTTTGAATGTTTGTCCTTTTGGAATGACTATTCAAAATCTGCTTCCTTTTCTTGGAAAATACTTGCTCACCCTACCTGCCATCACACTGATCCCCTTCCTTAAATAATAGGAGGGTTGGGTGGCCAAATTGTTTAACGCATGCAGTTTAGATCATAGGGTCTGTCATTGATTCCCCGTCTGTACAGAGCAAGGAAAAGAGTTGCCTGTCTAACCTTGTATAGGTTGTCTCCTATTTTCCTCCCACTGCTAAAGACCCCTACTCACAATCGATTTATAGAAATCAATTGAACCATATGTTAGTCCCAAAATGACCTAGTTTGTATCAAGTGGATGTTAAATCCCATCTCTCTCTCTCTCTCTCTCTCTCTCTCTCAAATAATGCACCAGATAGGATCAAAATAAGAAATAGTAAGCCGAACTAGGATTAAAAATCTGGATCCCTGTGGTCCAAATCAAAAATGAAATGAAATGAAATGAAATGGGGTTTAACATCCTACTGTTCTGCTCCGAACTGGGCTAATGAAGACGGGAATACGCCATACAGTGTGCTATGAGGGAAATCTTGCCCGGGCAGCAGCACTATCGCCTACTCTTATATCGAATTCCAACTGCCAAGGGATCTTTTACGTGCATTTCAATGTATACACGGGACCTTGGTTTTTCGTCTCATCTGAAAGACTAGACAGCTGTCCTTGTCAGGCCCTCCGTTCTGCACCACTGACAAGGGGAAACCACGTTGGAAAACAAATCAAAAACAAAAGTTACCAGTTAAATATATTATAAAAATGGACAGCTGTTTATGATAAGATCCTTATAATTTCTAAAATAATTCTAACAGTGTTCAAATGTTTATACATGTATTTTATTATATTAACTGATGTTTTTCATTTCCAACCTACGTATTAAATGCCTTTAGAAACATTCATACAAATTTATTTTACTGGTACCCGGTTTTTTTTTTCAGTTTCGGGAGGTCTTGTATTACAAGGAATAGGCATTCCTCTAGAAAATAGAGAATTTCAACTTCGATGTTCCAAGTCAAGTTGGTTTTCATTTTCATTAAAAAAAGCTTCATTTTACAGAAATGACACAGAGATTGCAACTGTAGAGAGAGATGGACTGCTGTCATGGACGGCCTGTGAATTAATCAGTGAAACCGAGTTGGATTATGGATGTAGAGCAACTTATTACACAAAAACATTGGTTATTAAGATGCTTAATATCACCAGAGATTCAAACACAATATGGACGTGTAGAAATCAAGGTGATCGATCAAATTATCATCTACTCAATGTTGAAGGTACTATTTAAATAAATTATTGTTTTATTATTATAATACTTATTTCTTATCAAATACATTTTACATTGTGTAATATCAAATACATAATAATCTTCATTTAACCAGATTCATAACATAACATCCAAACTTGCATTCGGAGATCCAACTGCGCTTTCAAAGTTATACACCATACTACATTTCATTTCAGAGAAAGAGAAATGGTTTAAAGTCCACTCGACACAAACTAGGTCATTTCGGGACTACATTTCATTTCAAGACATCAAATTATTATGAAATGGGGTTTAACGTCCTACTGTTCTGCTCTGACTGGGCTAGTGAAGAGGGAAATTTTGCCCAGGCAGCTGCACTACGGTCTACTCTGATATCGAATTCCAACTGCAAAGATTGTTTTACGTACATGTCAATGTATACACGGGACCTTGGTTTTTCGTACAATCCGAACAACTAGACAGCTGTCCTTGTCAGGCCCTCCATCCTGCATCACTGACAAGTGGAAAACATGTTGGAAAATCCAGATAATCTTTCTCAGCCAATGCAGGGATTGAATACGCGACCTCCATGATAGCTAGACAGTGTCCTACCCTATTTGCCATCATGGCTCCCCATTTCAAGACATATGATTAGACCTACCATGACCAAAAAGTCTATGTTATTAGGAACAACCATATAGTTGTGCACAGAATAATATTTTGCCAGGGTGGTAGTAAAATGTAGGTCGTGAGACAGGTAGTTGGGGACTTCTGTTTTGCGGGGGGGATTATTTTAATGTTAGAGATCCTGCAGGGGTAAGGGCCTGCTCTTCAATCTCCAACTGTCAGAGTTTCTTTTACATATACATTCTCAGATATTGTATTATCCGAATGACTAGTAGAACAACCACTGATCCAAAGGGGCGGCAGGGGGTGCCAATCTCCTTCCCTCATTGTTCATGTTTAATTTAGGGAGACCAGATACCAAAATACAGTGTTCAATTTCTCGTGAATTGTCTCTACAACAGTTCAGTATGGAGATCTGAAATTTCTGGAGCCCACTCACTCCCATCTCCTGCTAAAAGTACTGAATGACTAACAGCAATTACACCTACACCCCTTGAAAGACCACAATATAACTAGACCTACTTATTTCTTTCAGAACAACCTAAAGATTGTGATCTAAACACCATGATTACCCATAAATACTCCGAGAATAGAAACGATCAACACAAAGTTCTCATACTAACAGAAGGCAACGACCTAGAGCTGAACTGCACATCAAATACAAATTATAATGACAAAGAAATATCGTACAAATGGACAATTTATCGAGAGGGAGAGCAATCCATTACTACAAATAAATCTTTATACTTAAAAAACAACATTACCAAAGATGATGGTGGAATGTATGAATGTAATGGAGGAATTAGAAATAATACATGTGTTGATAATGATGTTATCGAAATACAAATGAATTGTAAGTAATATTATATTTATATGTCTAAACAAGCCAATAGTCTGGGTGTGTACAGGTACAAGGTGGTTATTATTGTTTGTAGTGTTTATCGTCCACCTGTCAATAGTCTGGGTGTGTACAGGTACAAGGTGGTTGTTATTGTTTGTGGTGTTTAACGTCCACCTGTCTTATTTTGTTGTTTTTTTTCATCTTAGTGCACACCCAGGGGTCTTTCCCGGAGTAAACCAATGAGGTTGAGAAGGTGCCCCTATCACCATGACACATACTGTCACACCAGGGATCCAAACCATGACCAGAGGTCATCGGCTAACTAGAGATCAAAACGTGACACTCTAGATCATCTTAACTCCCTGTGGGCCCTGTGTGTAGATGTGTGTAACATACTTATATATAGTATGTTTACTAGAACAAATGATGTTCAGATCAAACTTCATCAAACCCATGCATAACGTAAGGATAAGTAATAAGAGACAGAGAGAAATGGGGTTTAACGTCCACTCGACACAACCTAGGTCATTTCTGGACTAACATGTGGTTTAGTTTTATTTCAATAATTCACTTGCACGTACAGGTGTTTAACAGTGAGAGGTAACCGGAGAACCCGGAGAAAACCCATGAGGTTGGACAGGCAACCACACAACTTGACTTAATGACAGACCTTGTGATCATGCATTAACCATTCGGCTAACCAAGCCCACCCTCTCCACCTTATGTAATAAGTCTAAAGTCTATTGTGTGACCACAATAATGAAAGGCACCAGAGAAACTCTACCTGACAAAATCTGAAATTATGTCTGACCATGACATTGATATCTTGATTTACTCAAATCCACCATTATTTCAACTTCTATTACAATAATTTAAATAATTTACCTTCTTTATGCCAAATGGTTTTTTTAATTTGACGTCCATAACGTTTTTGTCTTCAAATGTGGTTTTGGTACAAGTAATGTCCCTTGGTTATGACTTCCAAACTTGCTACGATTTTAAATTAAAAATGACACTTTGGCATAAAGAAAGGTATATTATCAAATATTGATATAAATTATTGTGATAAGAGTTAAAATAATGGTGGATTTTGGTAGATTTGGGTAAATCGTGCTACCCATGACATGTATGCCTACTTTATTTATTGCAGTATTACAAAGTTAATAGATTCATATACCTCTTTTTTACAGATGCCCCTAGATTAAACATAAGTTTAAATTCCACAGAAGATAGAAGTGAAATGACTTGTATAGCTGATGGTAGCCCAGTTAATTATACTATCAATAACTGGAGACATTATGTAGATAATCAGTTTATAAGAGAACTGAATGGAATCCAGGAAGAACATCTTACAACTCTATTGTTAGATAATATAACAATACTAGATGAAGGAATATATGTATGTAATATTAGTAATGGTATCAAAAATCTTAAAGGATCTGTATTTCAAACGGCGCAAGAGTATCTTCAAATACAGGGTAAGAACTTGGGGGTTTCTGATTTTGGTTGATCAAGGATAGGGTACAACAGTTTAGCAAGCCAGACTGGTTATCAGGTAAACTAGTGAGTCAGACTGGTAACCAGGTAAAACTAGTGAGTCAGACTGGTAACCAGGTAAAACTAGTGACTCAGACTGGTAACCAGGTAAAACTAGTGAGTCAGACTGGTAACCAGGTAAACTAGTGAGTCAGACTGGTAACCAGGTAAAACTAGTGAGTCAGACTGGTAACCAGGTAAACTAGTGAGTCAAACACTGGCTTACTGACTAGGAGATCAGTGGTCTATCGGATGGAACAAAAAACCTATAGGTTATATGTACGGTAACTAACTGTCAAATCCTGTGTTCATGTATAATAGTCAGTCCAGGAGGACAACACTATACACTAAACAATACCACTAAGACAAACACGTGGACAAGATAAATTACACATACATTGTAAGAAATAAACATCAAATATCAAATCAATTCCAGTTATAATAGGTAGAGACAGAGAGAGAGAGATGGGGTTTAACGTCCACTCGACACAAAATAGGTCATTTCGGGACTAACATAATATGGTTTAATTTTATTTCAATAATTCGCTCGCGCGTAGGGGTCTTTAGCAGTGGGAGGAAACCCACGAGGTTGGACAGGCGACTCTACTCCTTGTCACGTACAACCGGGGATTTGAAACCACGCCAGTTGACTCAATGACAGGCCTTATGATACAGTGCCCACACGCTAACCATTCGGCCATCCGCCCCCCGGGTACTGGTAGAATAGTGAAAGGTAAATTCTGCACTGGTTTGGTACACCAAAAACATCATAGATATCTTCTATTTCCATAGAATATTACCTTTTTTTTACTATAATTTGCCAGTATTGTTGGTCTGGGTAGCTGACAAATCACTAGTTGATGATAGATAATGTTATTAATAAGTTTGTACACTATAATTTAAACTTTAGCCTTTTTTTTTAGCACCTCCAAAGTCACTAGAAATTAACAATGAAATCACAGAGAAGCCTCAAGGATCGAACATTGGACTTAAAGCAACATTTCTGGTCAACAGAAGTAGTAGCATGAACACGACATGGTATCAAGTTAACACAATAACTAAAGATAAGACGTTATTACCTATCGAGACAACATACAGCACATTAACGAGAACAATGAGAATATATAATAACGATATTGATCGAAAGGTTACAGTTGTATCATCTAGTTTAACGATCACAGCACCAATTGATGAACTTAATTTTACAGTAATCGTTTGTAACCAATACCGATGTACAGAATCTGACCAGGTTATCATAATTATATTTGAAGATAAAGGTAGGGTTAGGGTTAGGGTTATCAAATAATCCAACACCTCAGTCACTCATTACTCAAATAGTAAAATATTTTATACAAGTACTTCTCAGATTCAGCTTCGTAAGGGGCAATTAAAAACCCCAGAACAATTCTGAATTAAAAATGGGCATGATAAACACAACATAAATAGAAGAACGATAAGAGATTAAGAAATTGAAAAGATACAATGGAATGTAATAAAATGGCCAAATTATCAAAAATACAAATGGCAGGTGATCTCAATGAATTTCAAGAAGGGTCTTGTTAAGGGCCCAATAAATAATTCCACCAAATTCTGAACAATTTTAATTTAATTATTATTTTTTTACATGAGATTTGTGGGATTTCTGGTACTTTCCCAAAAAGATACATATTTTTATATATAATTTTTTTTTCAAAGCAAAAATACTGACATAAGCTATTTTTTTTAATTTGCATAAAAATGGGACTTTTTTATTTCTAAGCTAGTGAAATGACTACAGTTGAAAAATGAAAGAGTAGCTAAAAGTCTTTTTAGGGTAATATAAGGAATCAGTAAGGCCTTAATGAGTACACATCCCAGCTGTGTATATGATAATTAAGGAATCAACATATCTAATATGTATTCCGTCACTGGCGTTTAAGGGGATTAAGAGTGTTTTCAATAAATGGCAAAGTCGTTTTATGGTAGGTCTATATTTGGGACTTTGAGTGGAAGATAGCTGAAATAATTTTAATCAGATTGGTGTGAACTTGACCTGTAGTGTATATAGTTACCACTGGCTATAAATACATTGTTTTATCTTTTGAACAATTGATATCTTTCAGAGAATATTTACCAATATTTACCAGTTATTATTGATATCTTTCAGAGAATATTTACCAATATTTACCAGTTATTATAGGAATTGTAATTGTAGTGGTCATTATAATTATTATTATAATATTGATAATACTTAGAAAAAGATGTAATAATGTTAAAAGTGAGTACATGTATTATTCTTTCTATCACCCTATTGACTTTTAAATCACTCCTTAAACATGCCTTATATAAATCTACCAATTGCAGGTCTGTCTTTGGGCCTTAACTGTTATATTAACTATTGTAGACATTTATTAACATGACAAACTTACACTCTCTAGACCATCGGATGGTCGAGATTCAAACGGATTAGAAGACCTGCGAGATTTAAAACTGTAACGATATAATGGATAATCGAGACTTAGACTCGATTGTCAGGTACCATTTACCACAATAATAAACAATCTACGGTTACGGAAAATGAACTGACGGATGCTATTTGAGCAAAATCAGCAGAAATAAGAAATTTGATTTCTGGATGAAAAAAATATGAACCATTTGTTTATGTAAGCTAATGTGAGTTTGTTGAGACTTGTCAATCTGGCAAAAGATAATTTGACATTTTTTCTTAAAACTATTGGTTGACCTGCAAGTTGAGAGTGAAGTTATCATACATGTGAAATGTTAATGATAGATTTACAATACCTTTTGAATTATTTCACTGATAAATAGTCCCAAATACTTTTCAAATCCATCCAGTTAAAGAAATGTAAATAATGTACAACATGAAATCTATGCGAATAATAAACAGGTGAATGATTGAAACGTTCAGAAGATAATCAGAACAAAAGTGATATAACATGATCAATAAATTGTTTTAAAATAGGTTCTGCATGAAAACATGGAACCAAATCGACGTGTAAATAATGACAGAATAAACATTTGGTTTCTTGTTTTAATTAGAAGCTATTTTAAAACAATTTATTGATCATGTTATATCACTTTTGTTCTCAATCGCCAAATGCCACATAAAGTTTATGTAAATGATGCATGGTTTTATTAAGAAATCAAGTTAAACTAGGTACCAAGTGAAACCTGGTACATGTATATCAATATAATCAATATATATTATTTTTACCAACAGAAGAAGATAATGTGTATGTAAACCAAGAATCAATCCGACAACAAACCAGGGAAAACACTATGGGTAATATAAACTTTTATATAAAAACTTTAGATCATAAGGTCAAGTGGATCCAATACTTGTACGTGACAATAAGTAGGGTCGTCCGCCACTCCAGTTTCCTCCCACTGCTAAAGACCGCTACAAGCAAACAAATTATTAAAAACAAATTCTACCATCTTAGTCCCAAAATGACTTACTTTGTGTCGAATAGACATCAACCCCCTTTCTCGTTCTGGTTTCCTGAAGATTGTATTATACCAGAAATTCTAGAAGTTTTTAATATAAGTAATTATAAACCTACTAGTAATTTATATTTTATTTATATTTTAATGATAAGTAATTATAAACCTACTAGTAATTATATTTTATTTATATTTTATTTATATTTTAATGATAAGAAATATTAGAGAATGATCTGTATATAAGTGCTGATGATGATCAACAAGATAATCCAACAGGTAAGTTTAATAATAAACCCCTAACCTGTCTTAAAATGATCAACAAGATAATCCAACAGGTAAGTTATATTTAATAATAAACCCCTAACAGCCTAGTTTTAATAAATGTTTTAATTTAAATCAGCCATTTTCAACAGAAATTTTAAAAGTCTGACAGTGTGCAATAAAACACATAATTTGATTGGATAATTTAAATCAAAGAAATTTTAAGTCTGTTAGTATGTAATAATTTCATTGGATAAAAATCACTTTCTATAAATAATCAGATACCAATGAAACTGGAGCTACTAATGAAACTGGAGCTACTAATGAAAAGAAAATTATCTACATGAATGAAATGGGTAAGATGTCTTAAAAATTAATACAATTTATAATATTTACAGTATAGATCATCCTCTTAAGGGAACTCAAGATGTGAAATTCTTAGAGAATATTTTAGCACAGATAAGGTTAAGTGCCATTCTCCACACAAGTCTCGCTATCCAGCATTACTACAAGGGAAGACAACTCTGTTTGGAAGATTGGTTAAGTGCATGCATGCTCTACCCCCAATAGTATGGTCAGAAGAAGAAACTTTTGATGCCATCTTCATGGTACTAATTCCATCTGCAACATATTAATAGACAATCGTGTATCCTGATAAAGTAATGTTTTTCTGACCTTACAGAGCATACCTTGTTCAGTGAATCATATTCTATTAAGACTAAATACAAGACTTACCTGGTTTTGGTGGGGTCCAAATGTAATTAACACCTGTCAAATCCATCAGGTGTAGTCAGTCAGTCACCAATTATATTTATTGTGATGAATTAATATTACAGAAATAATAGAAAATGATCTTTATGTTAGTGGTGATGATGATCCACCAAAAACCATCAATATTCAAGAAATGGGTAAAGTTAAACATTGTTTTATTTTATCTTCAACCAATCGGATTATTTAATACTAGTACACAGTTCTATAACATAACAGACTGTTCAGATATTCATGACTAATTATATTATTGGTAGAAGTGGGGGAGTTGAATGGCCGAATGGTTAGCATGTGCACGCTGTATCATAAGGCCTGTCATTGAGTCAACTGGCATGATTTTGATTCCCCAGTTGTACATGACAAGTAGTAGGGTCGCCTGTCCAACTTCGTGGGTTTTCTCCGGGTCCTCCGGTTTCCTCCCACTGCTAAAGACCCCTACGCGCAAGCAAATTATTGAAATAAAATTGAACCATATGTTAGTCCCAAAATGACCTAGTTTGTGTTGAGTGGATGTTAAACCCCATTTCGGTCTCTCTCTATGTACAGTAGAATCTGTATGAGCAATGTCTCTCCTTGTAAGTGGTCACAATAACCCCCCCCCCCCCCAACGATAGTGTTGCAGTTGGATGAACTGTTGATTATTGGACTGTATTAACTGGTTATCTGGAATTCATTAAGTTTTGTTTTTTTAAAGAAATAATGGAGAATGAACTGTATATACCAGCTGAACTAGATACTCGTATATAAAGGTAACTATTTTATTATATATAGTATTTATATTGTACGTACTATTTACATTAAAAGAGATTGATCACTTGTTTCTATTTTACTTAATCAACTTTCAGAAAAATTCTCAAAGTATGGTGACCCCCTTTCAAATGATACCCATTCAGATTGATATTGTGTGTAGAAATTAAATGAGTGAGTTTTGTCTAGCTATTGTTAGAATATAGAAAGACAAGATGGATTATCACCTTTAACTCAGTTCACTTCTGAACACCATGGCGGGATTACTCAATTGTCACGATGGAATTATAATTCAATGACACAGAATTTAATCCTGAAAACAGGTGATATTGTATCATATTGAACTGGTACTTGCCTTGTCATCCAACGTTTATGTCAATGGGGTACTAATATAGAAAATTTTCAGAAAGGTGTAGCTATTTGTGATTATTTTTATGGTAGTAACATACATTAGCCTATCCTCCATAACAAATTACCAAGAATACTTTTTGTTGAAGTCTGGTTATATTAAAGGGAATGGCAGCCTACTAAGATCTCATTTGACCCAATTCTGGTCGGTTCATTTCAAAATGGAATAAGAACTCTGATACTAACTGTGTGAAAAAACATTATGAGAACCTCCAGGAGCCAATAACTCAATCATTATAATGTAGCAAGCTGATGGGCTGGTATGCATGTACCCATTTATTGAAACATGCAGTATAAAGTTGCCCAAGTGTATAATAAAAGTGTAAATTAAAGACCCTAGTGTATAATGAAAGTGTAAATAAATAATCCAAGTGTAAATAAAAGACCCGAGTGTATAATAAAAGTGTAAATGAAAGACCCTAGTGTATAATGAAAGTGTATAATGAATGGACCAAGTGTATAATGAATGGACCTAGTGTAGAATAAAAGTGTAAATGAAAGAACCAAGTGTATAATGAAAGTGTAAATAAATGGACCTAGTGTATAATGAATGGACCTTAAGAAATGACCCAAGTGTATAATGGAAGTGTAAATGAAAGAACCTAGTGTATTAGTGTACATGTATAATGAAATTGTAAATGAAAGAACCAAGTGTATAATAAAAGTGTAAATGAAAGAATCTAATGTATAAGGAAAGTGTAAATGAATGGACAACAGTAGGGTATTTACATCATCGTGTATATTGCAGATTCTGACCATTATACTACTCGATAAACTTGGTATACAGAAGAAAACTCTTTGTGTGTAACTGATCATTAAAGAGGAATTACTACTTTTAAAAAGAAAAGAAACTGAATTCATTAAAACCATTGGGTGTTTGACTTTGTGTGTGTGAACCCTGTTAATTTATAAAACAACAATCCATATAAATTTTGTATCATAGTTTTGGAAGTTGCTTGGTTCTCATCTCCTGTTAATTTTCTCGTTTAGTATTAATAAGAAGCACAAACATTTATGCCCACCATTACGATGCTAGGGCTTCGAAAGATATTAATATGTCCCTTTATATTAATTATATACATTGTATATATATATATATTCAATTGTTCAAATTAATTAAAATTTTTAATCTGTATATTTATTTGTTTATTTAAAGGGGCATTAGGTTAAATTAGATAAAGAGATGACAGTTCTCCCTATTATTGTTAAAAAATAATGATAATGAAAAGGGAATATGTTGAAAATTTCAGGCAATATAATTACAGTGTAGTCTTGATTTAAACATTGTTGGGATGGCAGTGAGTGGTACCGTCTAACACATGTGACTTTATATCAAAAGATCTGTCATGAATCAAGTGGTGGTTTTTCAATCCTAAGCTTGTATTTGACTATTTGACAAGGAATAGGGTTACCGGCTCATTTTGGTCTCCTGGTTTTCTCCCACTGCTAAAGATCCCTTGCAAGTGAATTACCTCCCTGATATAGGTAACCACATACAATAAACACCAGTATCATGGTTTCACTCGGTATCTAGAATTGACTTGGTTCCTTGGTACATTAGTTGTATGCCTATAATAGGTTCTCTGTTGTAAAACAGTGGAGATCAAACACCTTGATTCATTGTTTAACACACTCTGTTGTAAAACAGTGGAGATCAAACACCTTGATTCATTGTTTTACACACTCTGTTCATTATCATCTAAGATTATTATTACTAAAAGAAGAAAGGTACCAAGCCAAACTGGATACCAAGCGAAACTGGATACCAAGCGAAACTGGATACCGAGCCAAACTGGATACCGAGCCAAACAGGGTACCGAGCCAAACTGGATACCGAGCCAAACTGGATACCAAGCCAAACAGGGTACCGAGCCAAACCAGGAATCCCCAACATGTAAAATAAACATGTGACATGTATACATTAATTCCATTTTATTCAGGATTTACATTAAAATATCTGTTCTGTGCATATTTTACTTTATAAACACATAGCAGTTAAAATTTAAATCAAAGCCAGCAGTTAATATAAATATTACTTTGTAACAACATAACACTAAAATTTAAAACAAAGCCAGTAGTTTGTATATATATTACTTTATAAACACATAGCAGTTAAAATTTAAATCAAAGCCAGCAGTTAATATAAATATTACTTTGTAACAACATAACACTAAAATTTAAAACAAAGCCAGTAGTTTGTATAAATATTACTTTGTAACAACATAACACTAAAATTAAAAACAAAGCCAGTAGTTTATATAAATATTACTTTGTAACAATATAACACTTGATATTAAAAAGCCAGCAGTTAATATAAATATTACTTTGTAACAACATGACACTAAAATTTAAAACAAAGCCAGTAGTTGCATCTTCTCACAAAGTTTAAAAACATTATAAATTTTACATCCATTTTGGATCAAAAACAATTGGGTATAAATCGCCCTCCATCTTTTGTCCCTGAAACATAATTTAAAAAAATGTTTTAACAATTTGGACATTCTTCTAAGAAAAATTAAAACAACAGAAATTAGTAATAAATTAGACATTTTGAAAATATTTTCTGATGAATTCAAATTTGGATCAAAAACAATTTGTTCTCAAAAACGATAAGGGAACAGATGTTGAACTGTCAAGAAAATATTTCTAAATGCTGTACGACCTGTACAAACCACTGATTATTTCACATATTGTAGATAATCTACTTGAGTAACAGAGAGAGAGAAAGAAATGGGGTTTAACATCCACTCGACACAAACTAAGTCATTTCGGGACCAACACATGGTTCAACTTTATTTCAACAATATGTCTGCATGCAGGGGTACCCAGCAGTGGGAGGAAACATGAGGACCTGGAGAAAACACACAAGGTTGGACAGACGACCCCATTCCTTGTCATGTACAACCGGGGAATCGAAACCACGCCAGTTGACTCAATGACAGGCCTTATGATACTTCGCGCACGCGATTACCATTCGGCCATCCAACCCCACCACTCAAGTAACAACAATGTACGTTCACATTAAATGTAGGTGTATCAACCAAGTTTGTTTATATTTAATTTACCTTGGGTATCTTGCTACCTTTCAACAATTCTTCATTGGTATTTGATTTAACACCATCAGCAAAATAATTTAATACAGCCGCTCTTCTCGGACGTTGAGACCTTTAGATATATAAAGAGAAAATTAAATCATTGACTTTTATACAGTTCACAAAAACATTCAAATTCAAACAGTTCCTTCAAACTGATTTTTAAGGTATTCGTTATTTGAAGTCAATTAAAACTAATTTCATCTTGTCTCCCAAATGAAATATTTATGAAAGCAATAATAACAAAGAACATTTGATAAGTAAAATCGGTATTAAATGTATTCTGTAAATTTTCCACACATGGATCTTATATTATAAATTGAGGCGTAATGTACGATCCAGAGACTCATATAATGTGAAATCTGGGGACCTACCTATTACCATATGAACCTACCTATTACCATATGAACCATGTACAGCCAGTGGATGATGAAAACTAGCTTCACCTTTCTTTAAATTACCACAAATAGGTTTAAATGCTGCTTTTTCTTCTTCTGTTAAAATAGTCTATATTAATATAAAAACTATCGTAATACACTTTTTTAATAACCACAGTTCTAGATTGTAAATTCTACCTACAGTCCTTACAGTGGTGTGATTACGAGAGAACAGATTGAATATATACATAACAAAGTTACAGTCCTTACAGTGATGTGATTACGTGAGAACAGATTGAATATATACAAGTATTAGTCTTGTATAATCCTGACAATAACATGGTATATCTTTAATTCAATAATTTGAACCTGAGCATCCAAATTGAGAAGTAAAACCTTGCTAAGTATAAAAGGGGTGCATATAGCTCTTTGTTTAGTTCTATACTCCTCAAGTTCTAAAGACGAAAATAATTGATAATTAAATTAGTTCTATACTCCTCAAGTTCTAAAGACGAAAATAACTGATAATTAAGTTAGTTCTATGCTCCACAAGTTCTAAAGACGAAAATAATTGATAATTAAGTTAGTTCTATACTCCTCAAGTTCTAAAGAACAATATCAGACCTGTATTGACTCCATATCTTTAAAATTAAAATCTGTCACTGGTAAGGGAAGACCATTTCGATTCCAGTTATGAGAGCCAGGAATATAATGTAAGGCACCATTTTCAGCTGACTGATCATCTAATGCTATATGAACCTGTATAAAAACAATCTTAAACATAACAAAATGTATCTATTTCTATATGTACCAGTTGAAATATTACTGAGAAATATTTCCCAACAAAAATTACCTCCCTTGACACATCAAGGGGAAACAACTCTTACAATTGTCTGTTTTTGGTTGTTTTAATATTATGTATTAGGCTACTGGTGCTGTAAGTATTTAGTTTTAACTGCTGCTAAACATTAGCCATTTACCAATAGCAGTAACAATTGTTTTTATATTAAAATGACGATGTTCTATTTCTTAGTGAACTGACGTTAATACGTTTATCTGTAGTTTCTATTTATAGTTTCTTTATTTCTCAAGTAATTATCACAACAAATAATGCGTTAAATTCATATTAACTTGTTTCAATTTGATTTTGACAAAACAGTAAACCTCTTTCAGATATTTAAACCTGTCGCGACATTATTTATTACAAGCAATAAATCATTTGAACAGTTTCTAGCCATGTTATATACAACAGGATACAAATATCAGGATCAGTTGTAAATTTAACTAGTTTGGGAACAATTTGATTTTAAATTTAACAAGTTTGGGAACAATTTGATTTTAAATCAAAGTAAATTAATATACTAACAGTAAGATGTTTCATAGGAGCTGTTCGGATCCAATAAGAATAATCTTGATGCCTTAAAAGATGAAACCAACAAAATCTTAAAAGCAATCACAAAAAGTAAAAGATGTGTACTGTTTGGATAGGAAAATTTTACACAAGTGCATCCATGTGTGAGAGCCATTGTGGCTCAGTGAGCTAGACACAGACTCACTGAACAGGAGATGAATGTAAAATCAGTAGAAATTTATGGTTAAAATCTAGGTTATGTGAATTGATCATAACACATGACACAATTATATATAATACAAGTTACGTCAAGGATTTATTTCTGGCGATGTTTCGACGAGGGTTCTGATCGTTTTAAATAATTTTTGTACCAAACTGTTTTGTAAGACTATGTTTGATTATGTGTGGTCTTAAACTTTTATTTGGGTGTGTTGAGGACTTAAATCTGTTTCTTTATCTTACTGAATACCGAACACACTCACAGTCACCAACAAACCAGTCATGTACAAACTGAAAGCAAGTACCATCACCAGAGTTTTGCCAGCTTAGATGTACTAATGACCTTAAATCCAGAACAACTTCATCTGATGATAATCAGTCGATTGTCCCCAGAACATGATGCACATAGAACATGGTTGTACCTTCGATTGTCATCTAGGAGGACCATGATTGATACTTACCACCTATATTAGGAGGTTAAGCAAACAGCTGATCATGTCAGAAACCTATCTAGGAGGACTATGATTGATACTTACCATGCCACGCCTCCACCTATATTAGGAGGTTTAGCAAACAGCTGATCATGCCAGAATCTTACTGCTTCTTCTCGATTATTTTTATCCAGAAGTTGGGAAGCAGGTACCTGTTAATTTATATAAATATTGTTAGTATCCAGGAGTTGGGAAGCAGGTACCTGTTAATTTATATAAATATTGTTAGTATCCAGGAGTTGGGAAGCAGGTACCTGTTAATTTATATAAATATTGTTAGTATCCAGGAGTTGGGAAGCAGGTACCTGTTAATTTATATAAATATTGTTAGTATCCAGAAGTTGGGAAGCAGGTACCTGTTAATTTATATAAATATTGTTAGTATCCAGAAGTTGGGAAGCAGGTACCTGTTAATTTATATAAATACTGTTAGTATCCAGAAGTTCGGAAGCAGGTACCTGTTAATTTATACAAATATTGTTAGTATCCAGAAGTTGGGAAGCAGGTACCTGTTAATTTATATAAATACTGTTAGTATTATATCTCGGGAAAATATGTATTTAATTTTAAAGAGAGAGAAAGAGGGTTTATGGTTTACTCATATTAAACAAAGAGTATTCCGCGATAAAACACCTTAGTTTACGTACATGTGTGAGCTTGAACCCATAGATAACAGACTTTATGATCATAGCACACCATCGCCAATCCCCAGAAATTAATGTAAACGATAACATGAACAATTATTACAAGAAGAGTAGAACATGGTCTCGATCGTTCAAGCTCAAAATGTCTCTGTATAAATTATAACAATTACTGGTCTGGAATGTTGATTGTCTATACAGTGTTAATGTTAATGGAAAATTTTTTATATCTTACTATTGGTTCAGAAGAGAAAACTAACTTTTCATTGGACGAAAGGAAAATGCATTGTTAACTGGTGGATTGAGACAAAATTTTCTTTGTTGTCCAGACATTTATTTATGGCAAGGGGGGACAAATTAGGCTGGAGGGATTGAGACTACTGTAGGTAGAATGTAAAAACTTACTTTTCTTATATTATAAATAAAATGAAAATATTTGAAAAATTGCTTACCACTACATTAGGTAAAAAAACCAGGTCATGAAAATGTTCCGTAACTCTCCAGTGACCTAAACAATGCATGAGAACATTATTAGGATCTCCACTTTGGTTGCTATGGAATTCATATAATAAATCCTTTCTTGGATGACTTTTATCTGTCTGTAAAATAACATAAAAACAACATTTATATAGCTATGGAATTCATTCAATATCTTTGACCGTATATATTTCATCAATTGGACAGTGATGAGGTTTGTCACCACAGTAATCAATCTAACCAAAGTTTTTTATTTATTTTTTTAATTCATCTTTATGTTTCTGAATTTCTGAACAACATAAGTGTCTGGTGTTTCTATGGCGATATATAAAGAGTGGCTGGTGTTGCTACAGTGATATATTGAGAGTGGCTGGTGTTTCTATGGTGATATATTGAGAGTGGCTGGTGTTTCTACGGTGATATATTGAGAGTGGCTGGTGTTGCTACGGTGATAATGTTCTGCATTATATATGTACATGACTTTAATGAGTTTATACATACATTGGTGGAGAATGTGTTGTTTTCATTGGATGTTTAAAGTACACAACACACTGATAAAACTCATCAAATGTTAATTAAATTGGGTCGGGTAAACTACCAAATATGGAATATAAAACAAAAGGAAATGAACAACGAATTAAAACAAATCCAGTAATTGGATTATTTTTAGACTAATAAATGGTCCTATTTTCCTACGTGAGAGTTGTATGGCTGAATGGTCCAATGTGTGAGCTTTAAATCATAAGGTCAGTCATCAATGCAGGTGTTGTGGATTCAATCCCACACTTCTAAGTATGTGTCATCTTCCCAAACTCATGAAGTTTCTATAGGTTATCTGCATACATGTGGATGCTTTATAACTATCCTCTGAGAAAAGACCTCTTCGGTTTTCTCTGGGTCCTCCCACTGCTAATGACACGTACTCACATGCAAATTATTGAAACAAGATTGCACCATATATTAGTCCCGAAATGACTGGGTTTGTGTTGAGTGGACTTAAACCCATTTCTCTCTCTCTCTCGGAGAAAAGTTGAAGAAATGAATTTTTATAAAATAAAAGATGATCGTACTTACTAAGAAGTAAATATAATCTTGTAGAACTTTATCACATTGTTCTTCTGTTAATACAGGAATATTTAATAAAAAACCATCTCTCCAAAACTCTTCAATCTGTTCATTAGTTAGTTTAAACTTACTCCATTCAGATTTATCCTACAATACATTCATCAATATTTCCTATCGTTAAAATATTTTGGAGTTGGGAACATGAACAGAGATAATACTGTAGTTGTTTCTAGACATGCTTCTAACTGACTCTGTATACAATCATTAACATGTCCATAATCTTGTTGTTTATGTATGATTTACATTGTCACTTTGTAAAGTGCCCCTGAACATGTTATATGAAAGGGCGCACTATAAATATACTATTCAAAAAAAGTAGGGGATATTTGATTTTTAAGTGTTATTAAAGTCACCTAATGAAACTGACGAAGAAACAAATGACAAAATGAAATGAAGTTCACATTCATCGATTTATTCCAAATGATCGTTAGACTAAGTAAGGCACAGACTGACCATTATAAGGGTAAAATGATACCCGGGGTCAAACAGCAAAGTTACCACAGCATCACAACCAAGTCAGTAACGGGTAAATCCTGCTCTGTTTGCCAAACAAGCATTGATCCGACGTGGCATACTCCTAATGAGACGTCTAAGGTCATTTTGGTCCAGAATGTCCCATTCCTTTTGCAACACAGCAGCAAGTTCTTGGACATTGGCAGGACGTTGTTGACGTTGACGTAACCTCTGTCCAAGCATGTCCCAGACATGCTCGATGGGGGAGAGGTCGGGACTCAGTGCTGGCCAAGGTAATGTGGTGATGTTCTGTTGATGGAGGTAACCTGTAACGATCCTGGCCCTGTGACATCTTGCGTTGTCATCCTGGAAGATGAAACGGCGGCCATGACGTCGTGCGAACGGCACAACATGGACTGCCAAGATGTTGTCCCGGTAGAACTGGCCTGTAACACGCCCTGCAACAACATGTAAAGCCGTTCTTCCAGCAACAGTGATGCCTCCCCACACCATAACAGAACCACCCCCAAATCGATCATGTCTGATGACGTTAACGTCTTGGAAGCGCTCGTTTCGACGACGCCACACCCTCCTACGTCTGTCCAAAAAATCAACAGTGAACCTTGACTCATCTGAAAACATCACATTGCTCCAGCGTCGATTATCCCAGTGTTGACGATCCCTACACCAACGACGTCTTGCCTGAATGTGATGATCTCTCAAACAAGGGATCACGCGAGGACGTCGGGCGCGAAGGTAACCCCTATGCAGTCGATTCCGAATCGTCTGGCCACTCACTCTCACGCCAGTGTCTGTTTGAAGACAAGCGCTGATCTGATTTGCTGTGATGACACGATTTCTCAAGGCCAAGGTACGGATAAATCGATCCTGGGCTTGAGTTGTCGCCCTTGGTCGACCTGAGCGTGGTCTGTCCTGTACAGATTGTGTATCACGGTATCTGGACCATAGCCTGCTTATGACAGACTGAGAAACATTCATCGTCCGCGCCACAACCGCCTGTGTTGTTCCGATCTGTAGCATGCCAAGGGCACGTAACCTTTCATTTTGGGTAAGCCGACGCATATCAAAATTTGTTTTCTGGTCACTAAAACAATTAAACTGATGTTTCCACCCTGGAATTCAATGCCACAATGACTGTAACATTCAAAGTCAGAGTCGTGCAAATCTTGGTTTGGACCCCCATGATGATCCCAAGCATCACCTGCATTCCATGCGGTAGCTATTGGTGCGTTTGGGCGTCACATGTAACTGGAAATGTTTCTTCTGTTAGGTTCTATAGTGACTTTTTTCGTAGTCATTTGCATATTTTAGTATTATGCCCCCAAAATCAAATATCCCCTACTTTTTTTGAATAGTATATGTTGTAATAATAATAATAATACATGCAGTATACAAGGGGGAGAATTTGCCCAGACAGCAAGATACAACTGCTAATGTGTACAGAGATGAACCCCTCAGCATCTTGTCCTATCTGAATGATTAAGCAAACTTTCCTTGTCATTCCACCAAGGCAGCACCCCTTGACAAGTGAGATGGTTCATCTTTACCCATCCTAGTGTTCCATCTAACAATCACTACCATCCCCAAAAGGTGTCATGAAGATTTGACCATGACATTGAAAGATCTGCTTCTTCAATAATGCTGACAGAATTTTCAAATGGAATGGATGAGCTACTGTGCACAAATTTAATTAAGTTTTCATTCAAGATCTATGAAAATTGAAAAAGGTTGTAGCAAAATCCTATTTTCAGTAAGAGTTTACATATCTCTACAGTCCTTTATACTACAAATATATTTTAGTGTTGAATGTTGGTAACACAACCACACATTATTTTCACGTTAATAAACCAGTAATTGTTATTATATAAATAGTGTTTAATGTGTTACTGTTCAATTACTTAATGACACTTACAGAAGAAACACTACATATTCTGTTTTTTTTAATATTTTTATTGTCTTATATCCAGTGCCGGACTGGTGGGCCGAAGGGCCACCTGTCAGATCATTGACCAAGGCCAACACAAGTACGTGCCGAAGGAGCACGCAAGCGTCGGGGGGGAAAAATTTTGAAAATTGACAACCACAAACCCATTTTCCAAGCATTTCAGATCAAAGCAGAAGAAGGCAAATTTTTGATTTCCTGATACAATTAGATAACAGAATGACCTAAGAGCACTATCATTAGGAAAGAAGGAAGGAGAGGACAGGACACAGCCTCTCCTGTCCTCTCCTTCTTTCTTTTCTTTCCTCTCCCTCTCATTTCTTTCTCTTTTCTTTTTTCTTTTTCTTTCTCTTTTTTCTTTTTTCTTTATAGGCTTAGGCCCACTTTTTTTTAATGAGCTTAGACCCACCTGTCACGGATAGGTGGACAGCTGGGCCCAGTCCGGCACTGCTTATATCAAGTAAGATACAGTATGCATTTGTTTTCCAGAACACTGGATGTCACTTCCCTATCATTTTAGTCTCTCAACAAAAATGACATCAATCATAAAGTGATTGTATTGAACTATATTTCACAAACCTTGATTGGATCATACAGAACTCCCAGTGGTTTATGTATTTAACTGTATTAAACAAACCTTGATTGGATCATACAGAACTCCCAGTGGTTTATGTATTTAACTATATTAAACAAACCTTGATTGGATCATACAGAACTCCCAGTGGTTTATGTATTTAACTGTATTAAACAAACCTTGATTGGATCATACAGAACTCCCAGTGGTTTATGTATTTAACTGTATTAAACAAACCTTGATTGGATCATACAGAACTCCCAGTGGTTTATGTATTTAACTATATTAAACAAACCTTGATTGGATCATACAGAACTCCCAGTGGTTTATGTATTTTACTTAGATCCGTTGTCATGACGTCTACAAATCAACTCACAAACTCTCTGAAAATAAAAATAAATTTGAAAAATCAGAGAAAAACAGCATTCAAATTATTTTTGTAAATGAAAGTAAAGATCATTAAAGTCCACTGTTTAAAAGGCGTAAAGCTAAATATTATCCTGAGATTTTGACACATTGGTCCGTTCCAATCAATATGTTATCTTACCATGAAAATATGGCATCCTAATATCCTGTATTAAACATGCATTATGCAAGAGCAAAATCTGATTATTACAAGTCTTTCTTTAGGCCTGAAATGTTATCTAAATTATCAATTAGACATTAATTAACTTATCCAGACCATAATAAACTCTTGATGTCAAGGCTAGCCTTCGATGTTGGCTGGATTAGATTCTTATATGCAGCAAACGGCCGTTGATAATTAAATCAGAAAAAGTGGATAATCGAGACTATGCTGTTTATATTAATGATTTTAGTAATGATGACCAAGACTATGCAAAAATTTCACCCGCTTCTTTTTCGGCTCATAGTGGATCAATTTGACAGAAATTTTCAGCAAATTACCTTTACACTATCTAGTTTTTAACTATTATAGCAAGAACTGCCATCTCTTTATCTTATCTCCCATAATGTATCTTTAAAGACACACAGAACAATTTTAAAATCAGTTGGTGAGAAAGTGTACTCTATGCTCTCGAGTGCTTTTTTTAATGAGGCACATTGATGAACGAGACAGAACGTTAGTGTAAATGTCAAACCATACTTCTGATGTCGACTGGAATAACCAGATACAAGCAACTGCCATTCAATTTGGACTGCTCACTTATTTTAACAAAGAAAACTTATTTGAAATTATCAGTTTATATACATTCATATTACATCAATATGTAATAGAGTCATACGCCCTATAATATTACATCAATATGTAATAGAGTCATACGCCCTATAATATTACATCAATATGTAATAGAGTCATACGCCCTATAATTTTACATCAATATGTAATAGAGTCATACGCCCTATAATATTACATCAATATGTAATAGAGTCATACGCCCTATAATATGTAATAGAGTCATACACCCTATAATATTACATTAATATGTAATAGAGTCATACGCCCTATAATATGTAATAGAGTCATACGCCCTATAATATTACATCAATATGTAATAGAGTCATACGCCCTATAATATGTAATAGAGTCATACACCCTATAATATTACATTAATATGTAATAGAGTCATACGCCCTATAATATGTGCTTTTTCACCTCTTTCATCTATTTAAGGCTCCAAAAAATAGAGTCATACTTCCTTTAATAAGTTTACAGATTCTAAAGAACTAAACTAAAAATAACATCCTACTTCCAGGAATTATGATATCCTACTTCAAGGAATTATAATATCTCACTTCCAGGAATTATGATATCCTACTTCCAGGAATTACAATATCTTACTTCCAGGAATTACAATATCTTACTTCAAAGAATTATAATATCTTACTTCCAGGAATTATGATATCCTACTTCCAGGAATTACAATATCTTACTTCCAGGAATTACAATATCTTACTTCCAGGAATTACAATATCTTACTTCAAAGAATTATAATATTTTACTTCCAGGAATTATATCCTACTTCCAGGAATTATATTGTTAAGCTGATGATCAATCAAAAACTGCAGCTGTCTTACTCAGGAAAATTTGTCCTACAATTTATTTTATACACTTATCGACTGATAACACAATTATGATAAAACTTAAACCAAGGTTATAATCTATGGTATACGTCATATACTCTACTTTATAAAAATAGATAAAATGAATTGAAAAACTATGACATGAATAAATACATGTAGTGAATTATATGATAAAAGATGGACATCTCAAGGAAATCACTTCAGAAACTTTAAATCAAAATTTTGACATATTAAATACTAACAGACTAGCTCATGTAACGAACTTAATGGATACCTTCAATATGATTATATCCCTGTAATTAAATCCAACTCCCAGAAATTCAAAAAGGTAATCCCAGATGAGGCACAAAAGAAACAAGATAGGTTGCCAGGCAAGACAATGAAACAGACACCCACAGCAGCTTTTGTAGGTTGCAGGACAAGACTGTATACTGATAGAAGGTTCACATGGTTCAACAAAGTTAACCAAGGGCCATAACTGTAGACATTATTAACAAAAATTGATCAAATAGACTTCTTTGTTTTACCAATCTCAATAATGCATTTAAATTTGAATACACATCGGATGATAAATTTGTCATTAGAGCATTTACAAGGGGTTCAAAGTTGGAGAGAGAGAGAGAAATAGGGTTTAACGTCCACTCGACAAACCAGGTCATTTCGGGACCAACAAATGGTTCAATTCCATTTCAACAATTCGCCCTTTAGGAGGACCCGGAGAAAACCCACAAGGTTGAACAGGCGACCCAACTCCTTGTCACGTACAACCGGGGAATCGACGCTCATACTAGTTCTAGCGAGGTAAGTAAGGTCTTATTTTCTCACTAAGATGTTCATTTATATTGTTCAGGCATTCACAGGGACTGACACATGACCGTTAAACAGTAAAAAGTTGCCCAGTAAAATTGACTGGGAAGTGATTTCAGTTTAGCCAAGGATTCAATAGGTCAGTCCCTGAATGTACAGGCCAAGTGTAATGAGACCTACATTCAGAGCTGAACTACCCCTCTGCCAGCTCATCGTAATATTATAGCAAGTGAAAGACAGCTACATTATTAGGAACTGAACAGTCTCTGATCTGACGATGTCTTCTCTTGATTCTTTATTAAAATGACAATATGCTACATACTAGCACATAGTATTTGAATCCATTTAGAAAGTTGCATAGGTTGTAATGGTGTTGTGTATATCCCTTCCGGGTCAAACTATTTTAATCGTCGGATAAGAGACCATCTTTAAAAGTAATATATCACGACTGTGACGAGAGTGCATGGGCTTTTTAATCATTGTCATCACATGTATATAACCTATACTTGTAGTTTAATGTTATACCATTCTACAATTACATGCTTGAAATTTATAGATGTCATTATGAATGAAGAATGAATAAAATCAGACTAAATCAATGTGATCAATCGCATTTGACGCCATTTTGAAACCAAAGTAATGTCACGTGATGAAATAAAAATCAACAATTAAACTTGTAACACACAAATACTGTATTTGCTTATTATAAATGTAAATATGAGGGTAAATTAGCGAAAACTTATAGTTTAGTGTCTACTAAAATAATTATAAGATTGCAAAAACCATTTCATTTTAAAAATCTGATCTCAATTACCCACTTCCTGTGGCTGTTCCACAGTCCTCCCTCGTTTGTTTCCTAGCTAATTAAACATTTCAGCGCAAAATATTTATTTAATTTCCTTTTTTGTAGTGATATTTCTAAAAAGTCTATCCAGTCACTTTATTTAGTACATGAGAATTTATTTTTCATTTTAATCATGATAGTATCAACAGGAAAATATAATTTCGAATAACAAAAACTTTCTAGGGAGGTCATTGGATTCGCCAAGTTTAGAGAAGATTGTTTGAAAAATGGGGGATTACACACCTTTAGAATGAAGTGATTTATTTCCCGTAAGTATTGTTTTTAGTGCTAAAACAATAGGCTATTCTTTCCTTGTATTACGTATGTATATTTAGAAAGAAAGCATTAATGCAACTTGGGTATAAGAGATGCGATTGTTGGAAGCGAAAGGTGAAGTCGTAAGTTTTTTTTTTTCGAAGCCCCCGCGAACCAGTATTTTGCTGCACGATTTCAACCTTCGTCTGATCAGCTTTGTTTAGATTTTCTTACCGCCAAGCAGTGTCAGGTGCGGTACGTGCTTCTTTGAAGTTTAATCATCCACAGTTCTTGTAAAATAATCGGTTTATATCCGTCTTTTGAGTTTAATTCATTACAAAAGTGGAATTTTTAATTCCTGATTATTTCCACAACATTTTACTGTTCACGTCTGTTGTCTCCTCCTTTACTCATATTTATTTATGGTCACTACACATCCAACATAATGACTTCTATCAAGACTGAGAATCCTATAAAATACATGTACCTATAATTATTTTTAAATGTACCACTTAGAAAATGAGCAGAAAAATATTGTGCTAATCATCCCATCGAATATTAGAATCACAAAAGTTAAATTATAATTAGGGCTGAATTCCCTCCAAGTTTCTTACTCCCGTCTGCTGGTATTTGAGACCAAATCATAACATACATGTATCTGGGAAAAATTACAAATAAGCAATAGGATATATTAATATGTGCCGTAAATGTTTAAAGGAGCTAAATCGCTATTCTTTGCCACCTAGAAATTGACACAAATGGGTCGCAACGCATATAATAATGTAATATGAATGTATATAAACTTATTTACATTCAATCGTTTCTGTTATTACTGTAATTTCTAATCAGTTATGTTCGATGAAATCGCAAATAGTCCAAATTGAATAGCAGGCTTTAGATTCTGGTTATTCCATTCTACACTGGTAGTATTCCCCTGTGGGGTATGTTTAGCCTCGTTCATCGAGTTGGTTTATTACTGTGCCAATTCTAACATGTTCATTTTGCCTTAAATATTGGATATCAGAAGCCCATCTTTTCACAGTAAGATCACAACATCAATGTTGATTTAAATTGACAAATAATTCAATGTTGAAGAGTTTGGATGAGAATGAGTTAAAGACTTAGCTACTTTAAATTGACAAATAATTTGTGTTTTTAATGTCGAAGACTGTGGATGATATTGAGTTAAAGACTTGGCTCCTTTAAAACAATTAATATTTAACTTTTTAGCGACATTACAATTTATTTGAAAATAAAACAATATGGTAGGCTACATGTCGTAACAGTAATACACTTCATTAAGACCAGTTTCATATGAACGAAAATACTGGTTAGTTTTAACAGACTTATTAATTACCACATGATGTTTACAGACAGAACATTCCTCTACACAGAACTGAACCACCAATATTTCATACCAGCAGATTGACTCTGTGTTGATTGCTCTACACAGAAACTAAACCACGAATATTTCATAGATTAATACCAGCAGATTGACTCTCTGTCGACTATTATTATAAGATGTTGCTATTTGACTCATGTAACTAGTCTGTTGTCATGTAATGATATTTGTGAACAAAGACATCAATTGATGACATTCCTATACAAGGTTCACTGTTAAGGATGAAAGGCATATAACTCATCTATTCAATTTACTTGATGATTTTATTCAATAAAATTTCTACATTAAGATACTGATATAATTAATTGTTCATCGTCTATTTTAATTTTACTTTTTTTACTGCACCTGCTGTAATCACCTGCTGGTTCAATGATTTACCTAGTGGCTACATGTAATTACTATCTGATTAAACATTACTAATAAAATCATTTCTGAAATGAGATAGAAAAATTTACATTAGAACGGTTTTCAAAGAATTAAAAATATATCAGCAAGATGTCAAGAAATTTATAAGATTTCTCAAATTTTCCAAACTATGTTAAGATTTCTGCCTCGTAAAAGATATTCAAATCCTCTGATATTGTATATTAAAAAATCTGTTTCTAAGAAAAAAAAATATAATCACTATATCTTGGATAATGACTTTGATCATTTGAATTTTAAAACATCATCACTTGCAGTGGATTCTAGACAAAATTTGTAGATATTCTGATTATTTGCTTGAAATTTAATGTTTTTACGTCTACATGTTTTTACGTCTCATGATGTACAGGCAAGTTGGTTTTTACAAATAAAACATTAGTTCAGATAAAAAAAAACTGCATTCAGGAACATCTAAGCATTCTGTTTTGTTCAATTTCATCATGAAAAACAGTCATTTTGTAGCAAAGATGATTATATTAGACGATATTAAAAACATATAATCTAATATTGGTGGATAAAACTGGTACAGATAGAAAAGAAGACCATCCTTTGATGATTTGTTATCTTGGGAGAACAAGAATGTTAGTTACAGAATTTCTGTCTTGTGGATTTATATGCATGAAGCCAGTTTGCACCAAGTAATCTAAATGTCTTCCTTTGAAGTTGGGTTGAATATTGATTTGACATTGGTCTGAGAAAACTAAATATGAAATATCTGTCCTAAGAGATGGGTTTTATAACTAAGATAAAAGTGAAAAAATATTAGCCTAATATTTTTACGAAAAACAGTTTTGAATAATAACAAATGAGCCCACAATGTACACTTAGTCTTAGTATGATTTGCTTGGCTTACATACATGTGTGTATAGAATATTTTATTAAAAATAAGACTTATTAAATACATTTCACGATTTGCTACATGTATATTAGTTTATTAGTTGGTTATTGTCTTAAAGTCTTCTGGTTCTAGATGTAAGTTTGGCAGGGGGGGGGGAATGGCCGAATGGTTAGCACGCGTGCACTGTATCATAAGGTCTGTTTATTGAGTCAACAAGGAGTAGGGTCGCCTGTCCAATCTCGTGGGTTTTCTCCGGGTCCTCCGGTTTCCTCCCACTGTTAAAGACCCCTACGCGCATGCAAATTATTGAAATAAAAATTGGACCATGTGTTAGTCCCGAAATGACCTAGTTTGTGTCGAGTGGACGTTAAACCCCATCTCCCTCTCTCTCTCACACTCTCTCTCACGCTCTCTCTCTAGATGTAAGTTTAACAAAAATGGTTTTACTACATTTGAACATCAAACAGTTTTGGTTCAGTATTTAAAAAATAAATATAAACTAAATTCAATGAGATGCCTGACAACTTATATTTCATTGACTGATAGGATCAAAACCACTATTCTATTTCATTAAATAAACATTGCATAAAGATCAATTTATGATCCTTGTCAGGTTTAATGTAAACAATCAGTTTGTCAAAGTCCAGACTTGTATTATTTCGGAAGGATTTTACAAGAGCTTTGTATAAAATATTGAAATGTTTTTATAGTTGATTGCCTGCTACACATGTGGGTGTACTAGTATATTCAAAACAACTGATTCAATAAAGTTAATAACTCAAGAATCTAGAATAAATTTTAGCGTCAAATATTGAAATTGTAATCTAGAAAAGAAAGTGAAGTTTGGTATTGAAGTATTGGTCTATATGTACATGTCATTAGGAAAGAATGTAAGTTCATATTATTTACATTCTTCAAATCTAATAAACAAGTAAAATTTGTTAGAATTCCTTCTTGTAATAAATCTTGATGGTTTATTGTAATACAAATTCTGTACAACTAAGATATTTTTATGTTACATGAATATTCGGTCTATACATGATTTAAGGAAATTTCTGGAAAATCTTTGTATGTATTTGTTGTCACACTGTCACTGTTAAAAAAGGTTTGTTTTAAAAAGAATATATTTAATAGATATACCGGTATATGTATATTGTACAGTATGTAAGTATTAACTGATGCATTAAAAACACTCATACATCAATTTTCTTTTATTCATGTATATGAAAGCCCAGTTATATTTGATATTTAACACAGTTGTGTTGTATATTTAACTTTAATTGGTGGAGACAGTTGTCAATTTTACAAAATATTAGACTCTTATCTAAACTTTTGTACATGTACATGGTGTGTTTCTTTTACCATAGATTAAGATATGTAGATATTATGTTTTAAAAAGTAAACATTGACCAGATTTCATCCTGGTTTAATAGAGGTCCCACACGTGTACTTGTACCACTGGTAGCGGGAGAGAGAAATGGGGTTTAACGTCCACTTGACACAAACTCGGTCATTTTGGCCTAACATATGGTTCAATTTTATTTCAATAATTCACTTTCGTGTAGAGGTCTTTTAACAGTTGGAGGGAATCGAACTACCTAGAGAAAACTCGCGAAGTTGGAAAGACGACCCTACTCCCTTTCACGTACAACCAGGGAACCAAAACCACACCAGTTGACTCAATGACACACCTTATGATACAACATGCACATGCTAACCATTAAGCCATCCACCCCCACCCCCACCACCACCCCCACCACCACCACCACTGTTGGCACAATATAGATCCAATGAAATTGAAAATGGAAATAGAGTAGACTGTAGCACTGCTGTCGGAGAATATTTCCCTGATAACACACCGCATGGCGTATAGTCATTAGCTTGGTTGCGTTAGAAAAGTAACGTGTAAAATTTGTTTACTAATGAAGTACTTAGAGAATAGTTTTTCTGTAATAGAAGTCAGTTGATGAATATAATTTATATACCAGTACAGCCATTTTACAAAGGTGAAGATAAAAGCTTTTATTCTCTAATTAAAGGTGTGTTGAATCTGTAATGGGTTATGTTAAGTAAATCATGATGACTTTTTTTTATGGTTGGAAGGTTTCACATTAATTTGAACTCCGTGGGAGATAAACACTATTTTAAGAATTTCATCTCCAAATTCCAATCATTAACAGTATTAAGTTGGGTTGAGTTTTGTTTTTATACATTTCATATATTTTTGTCACCACTTTTCACAAGTTATAACTCATGTACATGTATGATGCCGTCATCAGAATGGAAGAGATACATGTATATTAAAGAACCAAATCTACAGGTCTTGATATACATGTACACTGTAAGCTTCAAATGATATAATAACTATTATTTAGACATATATGTGTATTCAACAAGCCTCTAGAACATCGGATGGTTGAAATTTAAATGGAATAGAACACCAGCGAAATTTAAACATTTAACGCTAAAATGGGTAATCCAGTCTTAGCCTCAGTTGTCAAGTATCGTTGCTATGGTAATAAACAATCTACGCTACATCTTCAAACACTCATAACTTTGTTCAGAATAAAGTACCGGTAATTAGAATGAAATTTTCAATTTTGGAACTACATGTAGGCCTACATGTATAGTATTATAGCAAGAACAGGCAACTCTTTATCTAAATCAGTGGTTCTCATCCTTTTTTTTGCCAACGGCACACCTTGGAACACATGAAAAAATAGCTAGCACCTGGTTAAATATATATGATTATTTGAATTTTGCAAAATAAAAACATGGCAAGTTATAGACGACATACAACCGTAAACAGAGACTATTTTAATCATAGACACATAGAAAGATTCAAACTAAATAAAGAAAAACACAGCTATGAACACCAGTGAATACTCAATTGGGATCACATACATGTAGTTTTTCGCATTTTCTTAGTGAAGAGTTCACTTACATGTAGGTAGATGCCACGGCACTCTGGTTGAGAATCACAGATCTAAATCTTTGAATATTTAATGTGATATTTTGAACATATATTATCTAGTTCATGTGTACAGGCATGTATTGTAAATTATGAATTTCATTAAAGGGGTATTACATGTATGGAGGATTTGATATCGAGCTGACAGTTTTTGCTATAATAGTTTTAAAAAATAGATAATGTAAAGAGAATATGTTGAAAATTTCAGTCAAATTACTTCACACTTGAGTCAAGAAAAATTCATTTAAAAAACACTGTATCCTCAATTGTCATTACTACCGTTGTTACAACAATAACAAAGTTGCGATTATCCATCAATTAATCATCAACTGGCATTGAACCTCAGATCTGATTCAAATCTGTTGAAAATCGGACCCATCAGATGACATCAAGAGTTTATTGTCTAGTCATGTTTATTAATGATAAGATTTCAGGCCTAAAGAAAGACTTGCAATAGGCAGATTTAGCTCTTGTATAATACATGTTTAAGAAAGACTTGCAATAGACAGATTCTTAGCTCTTGTATAATGTATGTTTAATTAAGAGTTTTACTTTAAGTACTGTGTTAAAGATAGGAGTGTTATACATGTATTTATAACTATGTGAATTATTTGGAACTCCTTGAAGCACCCTGTTTCGATTTTGTTTAATAATTAGTGTGCTGTTCAAATTAAGACACATGCAAGCTCATTATTGGTCTGTATAGTTACATCAACTACATGTACATCCGTCAATAAATAATGTAGACACGGTGGCTAGCCTGGAGGTCACATGTTCGCTACTGTTGTTGGCCACGAAAGTTCTTCAAGAATTTCCAGCGTGGTTTCCGCTTGTCAGTGGTGCAGGATGGGACAAAAACCTGAAGTCCTATGTACACATTGGCATGCACAATAAAGATCCCTTGACTGTTGCAATTCGATATAAGAGTAGGCCGTAGTGCCGCTGCCGGGAACAATTTCCCTCACTGCACACTGCATGGCGTGTGCCCGTCTTCATTAGCCCAGTTGGAGCAAAACAGTAGGATGTTAAACCCAGATTTCATTTCATTTAAATAACGAATTTGAAATTAGTGGGTTTGTTGAATATAACTAGAATACTGTTTATAAATCCACGCTAGAATATACATGATGATTTTAATATAACATCAACAACAATCTCTTGACTGTAATTTACAAGGGATCGTACATCCCAATAATTACTTTCAGTAGTTTACAAGGGATCGTACATCCCACCTAATTACCGTCACTAGTTTTAAGGAAAGGCTACATGTATGTCATTATTTTAATCATAATAGAGAATGTTGAATCATGTAATACAGACTGGTTGGTCTTAATAAAAATTTAATATTTATATTTATAGGTTTAAATGATATATAATGGTGATTTATGGTGTTTGATAAGATTGTTATAAGATTTAACCAATGTACAGGTTCGTATAATTATTTATAACATGTACAGTTTGTTCCATAACCGTGTGAATACAATCAGCAAAACATCACTCAAGCTTCCTCGGTACCTGGGTATTTTGAGTTGTCTAAAATTGTGATGTGGTTTCAGACTCTCACTTTAAAGTTTTGCATTCAGTGAAATAGTCAGACTACTTTAAATAGTCCATATTTGATAATTGAGGCAACTTCATGTCACAAATATTTTTTTGAATAATCATGTTATTGCCCAGTACGAACAGTCTTATAACCATGTGGAATTATTTGAGTAATTTAAAGGGACAATAACATCTTGCTGGCTTGACAGCTCCAGAAAGTAAATAATAGCCTTATTCTAAGTACTAGATGTTTAAGTGTCTTACCTGTTGTCTAAATTATCCATTACACCCTATTTTACTTGTCCAGAGGGTTCGAAAATATTTTTAAATCCAAGTCACATTTGAAAAGGTTTACGTCAGGCTTTTCAAATCATTTAGTTGGATTTTTCCAATTTTTTAAATTAGGTGTGTTAAGATGAAATTTGTGTCATCAATTAATTGGAATATTGTAAAATAGTACAATTTGTTGACCAGAATAAAGATTGGGACATATTATTCAGTTACAACAAGAGTGGTATTGAGCCTTTAAATTATAGGCTTTAGCTGAAAATCTATTTCTACTGTAAAATGATTTCAGTTATTTTATGACAACGGAAAATTGAATAAAAGTGGGATAATGACTGGACTCGAACACTAACCATATTTACTGGAGGTTAGAATGTACGGATGTTAAAATTTGAAAATGTCCCATCCAAGGATATATTGGAATATTTGACAAGACTTGGTGGTATAAAATATATAAAAGATTAAATCTGTATGATATATAGAGATCTCTGGTCTATTCACTTGTATATTAAACATTGAATAGAATCTGGTTTTATGACCATATAAACGACTACTATACACAAAATACCTGGTACTTAACTTCATTGTTTTCTTGTAGCCTGTTGATACAGGTTGTTGATAGATCTACCCAACTATTATAATCATGTAGTATCGTATAGATTGATAGACAGATCTAAACTTACCGTCTTCGTGTTAGAAATTTTTATATGGTAATGGTCCCTTTGGTAGATATTTTACATATATGAATAATTTAACATGTAGAACATACATGTAACTTGGACCCCTCTAGATGTAGACCCCATCCAATAGTGTTTATGTCTAGCTCCTTAAAATATACATTTCCGCAACAATCACATGCATGTTACGATTATTGATTTAGAATTCTATTCAGCTAACCGGACAAATTGTTTCAATGGCATTTAGTAATTGAACTAGAGTATACAGGCCACAATTCTATAGAATACAATTACTGCTTATTACTGAGCAACGTTTCTTGATGTTGACTGGACAAGCCTAGTCGAAACGTCGTTCTGTAATAAGCAGTAATTGTATTCCATAGAATTGTGACCTGTATATTATCAGTATCAGGACAAATATATTTGTTTTCAAAATCATCGTACATGTGCAAGAAACTTTCAAAAGACAATGAACACAATCCATGGATAAAAACAGCAGCCATAGTAGGCTATTTAATATATTTTGATATACAATAGGTAGAAATATGTTTCAAGGGCTGAACACATGACCTACATAAATACAATAGATTGCGTGTAAAGTTAAATACATGTACATGTAAATTGAATCCTAGGACAGTTCTGAAGCGAAATTACCATGGAATACGAATTTATTATTGAAAATTACCATACATGTTAAGAATGGGACATGTATGTAATTTGCCTTTAAAGTAACGACCCGTAAGACCTTATATTGTATACATATATTATTTAACCCTTATTTAATGGATCTGAACACCTGAAGCATAACATTTCTTTATATGTCTATAGTAAATTGGTTGTTAGACTTACAGCATGTAGAATTTATTGAGTTGGGAGAAGACCACTACATGTACAACTAATTTCTGTGTTCACTCAACTTTGAAAGCTGAAATTGGATTACTGTCTTAATTTCATAGTTTCAAATACTAGTTTCTTTGGTTTTTATGACAAATAGATTGTGAAGGCAGGCAGAAGATGGTTTTAAAATGAATACAACTTTAATCCCCCTCTATATGCTTCAATAAGCACACAGAGCAGCTTGTGTATAGACAACTATCAAAGGGTAGGCAAACCAAGAAACTCGACAATGGAGGAATTTTTTTTTATCCACCTTGTGTACCGAATGTGACTTGCCATTGTTTTGTGGAGACATTAAGGTTTAATATCGACTACAGTCAATTCTTTATTTAGTAATTCTTTAGTAAAGTAAACAGCCTACTTCTGTATGGGGGAAAAACCGTGGTGTTAGACTGTCGATTAGGATTCAAGATGGAGTACGCTTGTGTTTGTAGCTGTAAATTGTGTTTATCATTTGTTGGGATAATTACTTGAAGTTTTAGAAGTAAAACAACGAAAGTTTAAAATGATGTCAAGTAAATTAATACTGATGGTAATTCTTTTATGTATTAATATGAATATGTTTTTAAATTCTCTTTGAAGTACTTAGGCTCTATTGTTGGATAAAATCATTGTTGCTTAAGGAAATGTATCTATTTGACAAGGTGAAAGGTATAAATAAAATAAAACCAAGTACGAACAATCCAAACCATTAGACAAAATTTGAAGTCCTAAAAAAATAGTGTAATCAGCATATGGACTGTTCACCGTGTACAAAATACACGACAAACAGTGGTAACAGGTGTCCGGAAGAGTAAGCTTACCCTGCCTAGCACCACACCGGCCATAGCTGCATCCAAACTATTAGGCGAAATCTCGGTAAAATAGCGTGATGTATAATCTATGTTTAAATAGAAATTTAAGGGACACCATGTTTTTATAATTGTTAAAATTAGTAGGTACATGTATGTTTATAAACGCATTGACATAGTTTAGTTTATTTGATTGTGAATAAAATCCATCTAACTTCAGATGCTTTGTGATGTCTATACAATATATTAAAACATTGTACATTAACAAGAAACAAACATTCCAGTATAGATAAAACTAATTTTTTTTTATTTAAAACCATCCCATAGAATATTTTATTAATAAGCTAAGAATTGTATGGGCCTTCTTTAAAATGAATAATAATTGAAAATCCTGGTAAATGATAACAAGTTTTGTCTGTATGCTGTCCTATGAAGATCGAAACAATCTTTCTACTACATACATGTATACATGGAATACTGATGTACACTAAGATTACAAGTTTAAATATAGATATACTGGTATAAGATCGGACAAGTAACTTTATACAAGTTGACATAATCCGATAGTCAGTATATTAAATTAAAGCTTATCACTGATTTAAATATTGCTTGAGAATTTTAACAACAATATGTCATCTATTATTAAGTTACATTCATCAACAGTTACATACCTGTATGTTGTATGATCAACAGGTACATACCTGTATGTTGTATGATCAACAGGTACATACCTGTATGTTGTATGATCAACAGGTACATACCTGTATGTTGTATCAACAGTTACATACCTGTATGTTGTATTATCAACTGTTTAATACATACCTGTATGTTGTATTATCAACTGGTACATACCTGTATATTTTATCAACAGTTACATACAGGTACATACCTGTATGTTGTATTATCAACTGTCAAAATTAAATGAATATCAGTACTATTAGAACTAGTACTAGTATCATGTCCCAACCGAAACAAGGTTTTAGTCTTGGGGCGATATTTTTAGTAGGATTCTTACAGGCCACAGTTCTAATTAAGTGAGAGTGATGAAATGTAACTTGGTGTATAGTTTCATTACATCAATACCTTGACTAAGTTCGATAATGAGCATTTTCTGCTCAGAGTAAGCAGATTTGATTGGTAAAGACTTTGGAACATAATGACTCTCCTTTTAATTGAGGTAGAATGTTCAAACTTGGCGTAGGTGTCTATTAGGGTGAATGTCTTGACAAAGTTCGATCATTCGCACTTTTCCTGCTAAAGCTAAGTAGAGCTAAACAATTTCATTGGTCAATAACTTTGATTCTAATTAATGGAGAGTGGTAAAACTTAGTGTATAGTTTCACTACAAGGTACATGAAGTGAAAATTTTATGCTTAGACTAAGTATAGAAAATCAGTTTGATTGCTCGATACTTTTGAGAAAGATCAATGTGCAGTTAATTAATATGTGTTTTCTATTTATTTTGGGATTTCAGTGAGACTCATCAGCCTCACTGTTGGCTTGTAATAAGTTGGCCAATTAAAATTTGATCAGTCTTTTTGTCTCCTGTCTGAAGTATTTAATAGTGAAATTAATTAATATTCAAAAACACAAGTCTGTAAATGTTTACAGTGAGGTTTCTGACAGGATTTTTACAGCAAACCTACGCAGGTATTCTAGTCTTGCTGTAGTCTGCTTATGGTTTTATAAAGGGAATCGTTTGTTTGGAATACACGTAAAACGTGCTATTGTTGACAATTCTAAACCGATCTATCACACATCCTTGATATGTGAGGAGTAGAAAATTTAGTTTGTTGCAAACGACAATTAAGTTGTTGACTATGAATAAATTAATGAGTGTGGCGATGTGCTGACAATTGTAGATGTACCGTAGGTATGTGACAAGCATTAAATGGGTAAAATCAAATACAAGTTTTGTGAGTTTTACCCTTCTTCTAAACACTAGTTTGTAGATTATTTTCAGAAAAAGTAGAACGTCAAACCTGTTTATATTTGACAAATATCTGGTTAAATATGTAATATATGGCTAGATATCTGGTTAAATATGTTATATAGGTAGATGTCTGTCAGAGAAAGTTACTGTATTGGTTTTAAGTCTGACATGATTATAAATGGACACTTTGTATTTGTTGGTGTATCATAGGTTGACTGTTGACTGTAATCTATTGCTATTTAATACACAGAATTAATTTCTGATATTATGATACAATGTATACATAACATAAATATGTGGGTG